ATAATAAAATTTATTCTCATTAAATATTACATCTCTTGCAATGACTACCTTCTGCTCCATAATATCCCAAAGTCTATATCCGGTTAATGTATATCCAAGCATCAAGCACTTCTTTGCCTTTGAATCAAACTTACTTCTAAATTGTTTTGGAACATGACAATATGCTGTACAGCCAAATACTTTCAAATTGCTAATATCTGGTTTCTTTTGATTCCATATTTCAGCTGGTGTAACTTGTAAAACACTACTTGGACTTCTGTTGAGAATATATGCCGCCATTCTTACTGCTTCGCTCCAGAATTCCTTTGGCATTTTAGCATCATGAATCATAGCTCTCGCTTTGTCTACAAGGCTTCTGTTAAAACGTTCAGCTTTACCATTTTGTTCGGGCGTATATGGTGTTGTAAAGTCAATAAATGTTCCATTTTCTCTGCAAAATTGCTTCATTTCATTTGAAATATATTCCCTTCCGTTGTCGCATCTTAGTGTGGATAATTTTGAACCAAACTTAGCCTGAACCATTCTCACATACTCTCTGAAACATCCATACACTTCACTCTTTGCTTTAATGACATACACATAAATAAAATTTGAAAAATCGTCAATAAAGGTTACAAAATACTTACCTTCCTCATGACTACTTGGAGTTATTGGACCTGCAACATCTGTATGCACTATTTCGAGTACTCTTTTAGCTTTAGTGCGTGTTCCAAAATTCAATCTGGTCATTTTACCCTGTATACAAGATTCACAAAATTCTACTTTACCTACCTTTACATTTTTTATACCAGTTACCAGATTATTTTTGATTAATTTTTCTAAATTTGCATTACAAACATGACCTAATCTTTTATGCCATAATTTCAATTCATCATTTTCAATTTCTATATTTAATGATTCTACATTATTTACTTTAAAAATTATTTCATATAAATTATTTCTGTAACCAATTCCAATCAAAATATTTCCACTATACATTGACACTTTTCCATTCTCAAATACAACCTTTATATTTGCAATTTCTAACCTTTTAACTGAAAGTAAATTTCTTCTTAAATTAGGAACATAAAAAACATTTTTAATTGTACATTTTACATCTTTTCCGTTTACGTTATTCAATACTTCAATATTACCTACTCCAACTGCTTCCATATAATTATTATTTTTAGCAACAGCTATTTTTATAGGATTTTTCAATTTCATAAAATCATAAAAATATTTTCTATCATTAATCAAGTGGTCAGTACATCCCGAGTCAATATAAAATAACAAATTTTGATTACTTACATTTTTACAGCTTTCTACATTTAAATCCAAATCTGACATAAAACTGAAATTTTTGTCATCTTGAAACTCACTTTGTCCTGCTTTTTCTGTATTTTCCATGTAATTTGCACCTCTATCATTGTTCCTGTTTTGATATTCATGTCCATTATAATTTCCTCTGTAACCAGTTCCTCTATAGCCTGTACCTCTGTAACCACCTCGATTAAAACCATTTCCTCGAAAATTTCCTCTAAAACCTCCTCGAAAACCTCCAAATCCTCTATTGCTACCTCGTGCTTGGTCAAAACCACCTTGTTCACCACCACGACCAAAATTTCTGTGTCCTCTTGATTGATTATATACTGGTCTTTGATTCCTACAATCTTTCTTATAATGGCCCCTTTGGCCACAGGAATAACATACTCCTGATTGTTGGGTTGAAAAGGCTGATGGGGTTACATTGTCTCGTCTGTCACTGCTACTTGTACTACTGGGTTCATATAATGCTTTTCTTCTTTCAGCTTCGGCTCTCAACTTAGCTTTGGCCAAATTCATAGTTAAATCTTGTGGTAATACATTTTCCAATATAGTTATAACTGTTTCGAACATTTTGGGCATAGCAAGCAACAAAGTATAAACAACATCCTGTTCTTTTAAATCCGCCCCTGTAGCATTTAATTGCCTTATAATTTCATCATATTCTGCCAAAAAATCTTCAAGTTTACTTCCGTCCAAAAGCTTCATTGACATTAATTTCTTTCTAAGAATCAACTGGCCTGGAATGCCTTTTCTTTCGTGTCTTTCTTCTAAGCTATTCCACATACTGAAAGCTGTCCCTTTTCCTCTAATCAGGTCGATTTGCGAATCATCTAAGCATTGTACAATTATAGACTTACATTTGTTTTCTTTTTTTCTTGCTTCAGCCAGCTGTTTATCATTCGTATAATTGGTTTCATTGAATTCGTTTTCAATGCACTCTAAAACATCCTTTTCTTCAAACAAAATATTCATACGGAACTTCCATGTGTGATAATTCCTCCCATTTAACAAATCAACATTAAAGTTGTTTTTATTCGACATTGTGTTTACCTCCATTTTATTTTTTTAGTTTTCTTTGGAATCTGGGCCTCATAACCTGTTGTTATTTTGGGGCTTTGGACAGTCTGGAACTTGGCTTGTTGGAGTAATAATCGAGGAGTTTCTTTGTACAGTTTATTTACATATATTTACAAGTGTTTCAACATCAGAACTTCTTCTTATAAACATCTCTTATATACAATACTTTTATAACGGAAATTCTCATTCTTTACATGATGATTACTTTTTAATGACTTGTTATTTAATTACTACTAACAACGAACGACCAAATAACAATCGACTATTAATAATTCGACCAATAATAATAACCTTCTACATAACCATACATATTCTATTTTACATAGACATAACACAACTAACGCCATCTCTATAAGAAGAGCATTACCAGTATTCTATACTTGGTTTAGGGATTTAAGATCTATACTCACAACAGAAATCTTCTATTATTTTTTATCGCGAATGACAGTTCAATGGCCATCAATCAGCTAGTGTTACCAACCTCCGATAAGTAAAAAAGGAGTGTCACAAAGAGCTTCTTTTCGAAACTACTTTTAGTGTCGAAAAGACTTCGATATGACACCAAAATAGAAAAAAGTATTTAGCAACAGCTGACTGGTAGGATATACGAATTCTAAAGTAATAACAAACTTTCCAGTAGGCGCTCGATCAATTGACAAAAAAGGACCTACCAGTAGGTGCACAATCGGTGGATGAAAAAGAGCCTACTGGTAGGCGTATGATTGTTGGATAACAAAGGACCTACCGGTAGGCGTAGGATTCACTCCCTAGAGAATATGTACCATGTTGTATTTTTGTGGCCTACATGCACCTCCGACACTGCTTTTTTTTTCCTTCAATCATGTCGATGTCACAAGTTTTGTTTACTCCGGTGAAATGATAAACAATCCGCTGGTTTGCCTTTTTTCTGACACACTGCACACTTATTAGTCATTTTGAATCTTGAATAAGAAACTTTCACGAAATGTATAAACATGTAAATAATAAATTTTTAAACAATTCCACTTTCAGTGAAACACCCAAAAAAGTCGATAAAATAAACACACAATAATATATATTGACATTTACGCAGGTACGGCAATAGGTTGCTACTGGGAACCACCCAAACAATATACTCTGTTTAGCTAAACTTGTATAGTGTTCTTTTCGTTTACATATTGCCTTAGACAGAGATGTCTAAAGATCCAAAATGTAAACGGATTTTTGGAAATCGTACTATAGAAAACCAGCGTAAACAAAGTAAGAGAGACAAAATCAAAATATTTGGAGAGAGATCTTTGTACCATATTTGGAAGTTGATTACTCATCTTTTAGTGTTAACTATATATAATCTAAGCATTCACCCGATCTCTAGTTGTCAGTTTCGAATTTCGATTTCTACTTGATTTTTACTCTTATTTTCTAAAATTATTCAAAATATTGAAATGACTGATGAAAACACCAAAAGAATCCCCAACTTTGCCCCGGGAAAAAGGCAGAGTCTCATGGGATACTTTCAAAATTCGCTAATAGGTATCATCGAAGACAAAAAAAACAAAGTTTCCAATGTCGGAAAGTCTCAAGCTTAGAACCGATTTACAGAAGAATTCAACAGCACTGCATAGGACCGTCGAGCAGTTAGTTAGTTAATTAGTCCATATTGTCGAAATAATCACTTCTTTCGTAGACTGTAGACTCTGCGAGAAATCCCAAGGTTTATAATATGATGGAGGATATCTAGATCATCATCTATATATTTCGTCCTCTAAATCCATTTTACACCAGAATAATTAAAAAATTGTAAAAAAAGAAAATTCAATGGTTATACACCGTTCTGCTAATCCCTGCATTGTTGAACGATTAGATAATTTGAAGCCTGAACCGAATTTTTCTTGCGGTGCATAAGAAAACTATATCTAATATAGGTTTTTATAACTAATCCTCGAAATAAGCTTACGGTGCATACCTGAGTAAATAATCATATATTATATCACAAGACCTTTAAATTTAATCGATTAAACTATGCAACATATTTTGAGCATGATTTTGCTTGGAAAATAGTTGAATGCACAATAACTTAATAAAAGCCCGAGACCGCGAAGCGGTCGAGGGCTTTTATTTAAAAGTTATTGTGCATGAAACTATTTGCCAAAAAGCAAAATTATGCAAAAAATATTTGGGTAGTTTAATCCATTTAAATTTATAGGTCGAGTGGTATACGGCTAGATTATTTCCTGAATAATTAGGATTGAATTATTGGCGTCAATCCTATCCAAAGAGTTCTATTTATTATAAAATGTCAGAATATTTCTATCAAAATTCTGTCATAAAAGGTAAACAAAAATTTAATCGCTGATAAACAAGGTCTTGTGAAATAATCACTTATTTAAACAAAATTCATTCAAAAAATGACGTTGTCTGATGGGTCTATTTTATAATGAATGAAATAATCAAAATCAAACTTGCAAGCAAAACTCGGAGCAAAATAACTAAAATACGCATCAAAAAGACAAAATAAACTTGCCTGGCCGCCACGCCATATTGAATTGACCGGAAGAATATCGTATCGATACCTGTGAATCGATAAACCCTGCTCTACGTTCAACATAACCTCATTTCAGTGTCACTTCACTTTTGTTGCGCCACTGACCTACAAAAATAAAAATTTATAAATAAACAATAAACAACAAATATCTTTGTAACATAATTTAGTAGTTGTCAGTGATTCATTTATCAATTAATTACTTAATTTATAATTATTACGTTGTTGACAAATTCCTGGTCTTCTAACAACGACTTTATCAGTTTTAATATGTAGAAAGTCCGTTATTTAAGATAATCTAAGTCCGTGTCATAATAGTTTTGCAAATTTTAAATACCCACATAACAAAGAAATCTTTTCTGTTAAGAATTTATATTAATTAAACCATTCTAATACCGATGAGATTTATTAGTTGTTAATTGAAAGAATGGAAGAGAGTATTAATTCAGCCTATTCACAAGAAATTAATGAAAATGGGGAAATTATCAGACCAAGAAGATTTAGGGTAAGTTCACGTTTTCCCTAATTATATCATCCTCATTTAAATTTTTTAAAAATAATGACTGAAAACAGGCATCCAACCTTATGTGTTTCACAACAAAATACTCATTCATTTAAGTAGGTAGGTAGGTAGTGTACTGATAAGACAATAACTATTCACCCAACAATAAATAATGACTAATACTATGATTATAATGCATACGCATATTTTCAGGAAATTTCATATTCAATTTTAGTAGGTATTTATTTATTATCAACCGTTCAAAATAAACCAGACATTACTAAATTAGGTACATTCACAAATTAGCATTTGCAACTCATATTATGTTTTAACACCTAGTTAAGAAGTGAGTGTCTTATGTTATTTCAATTAAAATATGCACTCGATGTCTTGTTGTCCATTGTTTGTAAAAGTAAGTTTTAATTGAATTAGGTACTTGGTGGCATCAGTTTATTTATTTACCATTTAAAGCATTGTTTAATGATTTTTGAACTATTCTCAAGTACAAATAGCACACCTGTTAGGGCTCTACTGAGGGCTCCACTTATCTATTGTAGTCTGGTCAAGTACTACAAAAATAATAAAATAAAACATGTAAAACTCAGGTACTGATAACAGTCAAAAGCTGTTTATCCTTAAAAATTTTGATGACTCCTATTGAAAGTGTTGAGCATCTTTTTTGTATCACTTACCATTGACAGCCAAAAAATTCTAGTGGAAAATGTATCCCAGGAACATCAACATTCAATATCTATGAAAACTTTTGTTTCTCTCTAATCCATCTACCGAGGTCCATAAAGCTAGCAGTCCCAAGGTGAAAAAAAACTTCGGGAGCTATATAATAATTAGGTGCTTTTTAGGTGCTAATTAGGGCCTCTAATTAAAAATTAGGTGCTCCTTTAGTTTTTGAGAAAATCAAAAAAAAAAACTAAGGGACTGCTAGGTTTATAAAAGTTATAGCAGTCCCCTATAGTAAAAAATATTTTTTCAAATTTTTCCTTTGTATGAGAATTAGGTGCTTTTTAGGTGCTCCCAAATAGTCCAAGAAAAAATAGAATTGATTAATTATTAACTGAGTTACAGATTTTTTTTAATTATTAGGGGACTGCTGGCTTTACGTTTACTTGTTGGTGTGTCAGAATGGCAAAAAAACTTCGGAATCTATATAATAATTAGGTGCTTTTTAGGTGCTAATTAGGGCCTCTAATTAAAAATTAGGTGCTCCTCTAGTTTTTGAGAAAATCAAAAAAAAAACTAAGGCATTGCTAGGTTTATGAAAGCTAGTAGTCCCTATAGTAAAAAATATTTTACCAAAAATTTCTTTTGTATCAGAATTAGGTGCTTTTTAGGTGCTCCTAAATAGTCGAAGAAAAAATAGAATTGATTAATTATTAACTGAGTGACAGATTTTTTTAAAATTATTATGGGACTGCTGGCTTTACGTTTACTTGTTGGTGTGTCAGAATGGCAAAAAAACTTCGGAAATTATAATAATTAGGTGCTTTTTAGGTGCTAATTAGGGCCGCTAATTAAAAATTAGGTGCTTCTTTAGTTTTTGAGAAAATCAAAAAAAAAAAACTAAGGGACTGCTAGGTTTATAAAAGTTATAGCAGTCCCCTATAGTAAAAAATATTTTTTCAAATTTTTTCTTTTGTATCAGAATTAGGTGCTTTTTAGGTGCTCCTAAATAGTCAAAGAAAAAATAGAATTGATTAATTATTAACTGAGTTACAGATTTTTTTTTAATTATAAGGGGACTGCTGGCTTTATGTTTACTTGTTGGTGTGTCAGAATAGCAAAAAAACTTTGGAATCTATATAATAATTAGGTGCTTTTTAGGTGCTAATTAGGGCCTCTAATTAAAAATTAGGTGCTCCTCTGGTTTTTGAGAAAATCAAAAAAAAACTCGGTATATTGACAAGCATACATTGAGTTGTTATTATTATAAAAAAAAAAAATGAGACCTACGAAGGGGTCTCTCTTCCAATATCTCATAGAAAATTTCTATTGACATATTCAAATCTGATGCAGAAAACAGCGTTTCCTACTGCACTGATGCAAAATGATTGAGCCTATGAAGTCAGCATTTCTGAAATCATAGTAATAATCCACCACAACTAAGTTGTCAGTGAACTTGTTTTGAGGGTGATAACTACACTCTACACTAATAGGATGTGTGATGATTACTGGCATTAAATATATTGTCATTTGCCCTTCTGACAACTAAGTCTGGTACATCTGAAAACACCTATTGACCTATTATTTGGTATTGTGTTTACTTATACAGTTTAAGAAACCCAAGGTATTCTGCTGATTTGAACTTACTGGACATTTAACCTGAACATCAAAATTTTCATTGGACCACTGTGAACCACAATACTTCAGGCAAATTATAGTCTCAATACTGAATGCCCACTATAAGTACGACATATCTCATCGACAGCCTGGCAATGCAAATTGGATTGAACAGGCATCAAGTCAGAGGTGGTGGTGTATTGATCTACACAGGAAAAAGCATAAGGTGGACACAAATTGATCATCTTTGTAGCAATGAGGGCAAACTTTAGCAACTATGGTTAAGTATACATGTTGAACGTAAAAAACTTGCTATCGGCGTCCCTAGAGAAATGTATCTTCAGACAAGTTGGAAGTTAGTTTGAGAGAACTTATAGTTGGTTGTAATATTGACGAAAATCTTGCCACAGATTACCTATATACAGATGCGAAAGAGGGGCGAATTTATGGTTCAAGATTAATTTGATAGACATAGGCTGGCCGCACCAATGCCGCATCAATGTATTTTGAACATATTTATTATATAAATACGGAAGCTCAATAATATAATATTATTTCTTTAATTGGTTCACAAACAGCAAAAAAATATTCTTTTTTACCCGCAAAAATATGTAAACACACAGGCTTGAACATGCTCAGGCATCCGGCCACGTTAATTGTCCTGACGCGGGCGATCTGTATCTATGCGTCAAGGCGCTGGCTCCCCGGCTTCGTCACAGAATATCGTCGACGGCAAGTATACGTACTTAGGTACGCATCTGTATTAGGTGATCTGTGATCTTGCTTTAAACAAACAGGTCCTCTGAATAAGTGTAAATATCATGTTGGTTACGTACCTATAACTTAAAGCAACTCTACAAAGACCCTATAAAAGAATAGCAAAGTAACTAAGGGAAGCCAACAATATACTAATACTGGCATTTGGCATTTGGCGTGGATGAATCAAAAAGAGAAAGCAAGCAAGATAAGGAGAAAGACGATAAGGAGGTAGCTTTATGCAAAAATGAATTTAACTCATCCGCAGGATGCCAAAGTGTTTAGGTTGGGAATTGAAATGCCAAACAAGGAAAGACTGATAAAAGCGAACTTGCCAGACAGACAAGAAGCCTTAAAAGCTCTCAAAACCCGAAAAATGTTGGAGAAGAATGCACCAGGCGTCTACATAAAATCAGACCAGACCAAAAATCAGAGAAAACACTTGAAACAAATCTTGGCAGATCTAGAAAAGCAAAAAAGCGAAGGAAAAGACAACATCATCATTAAGTATATTCGCGGGATTCCTAAAATCATAGAGAAAGAACAACAAATCAGAGGAAAACTACCAGGCCTATATGACTCAAAATAACACACTCAAACAAAAACTGGGCGAGGCTAGGAGAGTATATGAGAATGGCTTAGTTACAGCAGATTCACCAAAAAGGAACTACAAATATATAAGCAGAAACTTGAACTCTTAAGCAATAACACTTAGAGATTCAATAACTCAAGGAGTTTTAGACAATGAAGCCATGGCTGAAAAATTTGCTGAACAATTTGACAAATTCTTCACCCAACAGCAGCACCTTCTACTCCTACTTGCAAATACCAGAGTCTGGAATTCGATAGACACCATAGAATTCACAGAAGAAAAAGTCCAAAATGAAAAAGGCCTCAAGTCCAGGGCCAGACAAGATACCAACCATTCATGCTACAAAACTGTAGTGAGTCGGTTGGTTCTCTACTCTCTGGGGTAATGCAGGAATGTGTCGATTCGGAATGCATACCAGAGAAATGGAATGGAATGGAACCGGAAAATTATCGACCCATAAGTCTAACATGTAGCCCATTGAAGTGCATGGAAAAAGTCATGGTCAAGAAATCGACAGTTTTTTTCATTGAAAACAATTTAATACCACCATCACAGCACGGGTTTCTATCAAGATGCTCCACTGTTACCAACCTACTGGAGAGTCTCAATGACTGGACAGAAAACCATGATAACCTTCAGCCCACTGAAATTATATATCTTGATTATGGAAAGGCTTTTGATAAAGTGCCACATAACCTGTCGCTTGGAAAACTGGAACATTTTGGAGTACGGGGAAGGCGGTTCTGGGCCCATTGCTCTTTATAACATACCTTTTTGATCTTGGTAATTGTATTGAAACAAAAATGACAAGTTCTACGGACAAATGAAAACTATATGCCAACCCTCTTTTCAATGTAGCACAACTAAAAGCAGACTTGCATAATCTTGAAGTATGGACTGGAACTGGGGGTATGAAACTCAACGAGTCAAAATGCACAGTGCTGAGAATTGGCCCAAACAATCCCAATGAAGAATATACTCTGAACAACACAGCACTAACAACTGTCACTGAGCAGAATGATCTTGGAGTCCTAGTAACATCCGACTTGAAATGGGAAAACCACATTGTGGAAATAACCAGTACATTTGTCTATCTGATTAAACATGCTTTCAAAGACCACTCCGTCGAAATGATAGGCAAACTGTACAAAAACTTCATCAGGCCTAAACTTGAATATGCCTACACAGTGTGGAATCCAAGGGGTAAACCACCATCCCAGAATTGGTGCAAACAATTCCTCAAAGGGGAATTTCTCACGCATAATTCCTCAAAATTCCTGCCAAATTCCACCAAATAGCCCATCACAAATTCATCCAAATATCATTTTCCCAAAATTTCAAATTTTTCCAGTGAAAAACAGCAACATGAAAAATCTTGGAAATCAACCTACAATAACTGAATTAGTTGAAAATACAGTCTCACATATTTCAAAGTTTTCCTAGAAATCTAGTGAAGGGAAATTGTTGAAACTTTTTGCATGTGAAGAGGAAGGTGAAAAGCTCATTTTCCCAAAATTTCAAATTTTTCCAATGGAAAACAGCAACATGAAAAATCTTGGAAATCAACCTACAAAAACTGAATTAGTTGAAAATACAGTCTCACATATTTCAAAGTTTTTCTGGAAACTAGAGGAAGGAAAATTTTGAAACTTTTTGCATGTAAAGAGGAAGGCGAGAAGCTCCTTTTCCCAAAATTTCAAATTTTTCCAGTGGAAAATTACAACATGAGGAATCTTGGAAATCAACCTACAATAACTGAATTAATTGAAAATACAGTCTCACATATTTCAAAGTTTTCCTGGAAAACTACTGAAGGGAAAATTTTGAAACTTTTTGTATGTAAAGAGGAAGGTGAGAAGCTCATTTTCCCAAAATTTCAAATTTTTCCAGTGGAAAATTACAACATGAGGAATCTTGGAAATCAACCTACAATAATTAAATTAATTGAAAACACTATCTCACACATTTCAAAGTTTTCCTAGAAAACTAGTGAAGGAAAAATTTTAAAACTTTTTGCATGTAAAGAGGAAGGTGCGAAGCTCATTTTCCCAAAATTTCAAATTTTTCCAGTGGAAAATTACAACATGAGGAATCTTGGAAATCAACCTACAATAATTAAATTAATTGAAAACACTATCTCACATATTTCAAAGTTTTCCTAGAAAACTAGTGAAGGAAAAATTTTAAAACTTTTTGTATGTAAAGAGGAAAATGAGAAGCTCATTTTCCCAAAATTTTAAATTTTTCCAGTAGAAAATTACAACATGAGGAATCTTGGAAATCAACCTACAATAACTGAATTAATTGAAAATACAGTCTCACACATTTCAAAGTTTTCCTAGAAAACTAGTGAAGGAAAAATTTTGAAACTTTTTGCATGTAAAGAGGAAGGTGAGAAGCTCATTTTCCCAAAATTTCAAATTTTTCCAGTGAAAAATAACAACATGAAAAATCTTGGAAATCGACATACAATAACTGAATTAATTGAAAATACAGTCTCACATATTTCAAAGTTTTCCTGGAAAACTACTGAAGGGAAAATTTCGAAAATTTTTGCATGTAAAGAGGAAGCTGACTGAGAAGCTCATTTTCCCAAAATTCAAAAATTTTCCAGTGGAAAACAGCAAGATGAAAAATCTTGGAAATCATCCTACACAAACTGAATTAGTTGAAAATACAATCTCACACATTTCAAAGTTTTCCTGGAAAACTAGTAAATGGAGAATTTTGAAACTTTTTGCATATAAAGAAGAAATGAAGAAGCTCACTAGATTTTTTTTTTTAAATTTCCATTTATTACTATTTCTTATACCTAATAAGAATGTGAACCTCAGTGACGTCATGACCTTACAATTTCCTTCAAATTCCTCATAAATTCCTCACAAATTCTCCCAAATTCTCCATAAATTCCTCCAAATTCCCTATAAATTCCCCAAATTCTCATAAATTCCGATGAGTTTCTTCAAGTTCCTCTAAATTTCCCACAAATTTCCCACATTTTTGGTAAAGAAGTCATAGGTGGTTTGCCCCTTGGTGGAATCTATATTATAGGAGTGTAACCAAGATTCCATCAGAAATGAGAGAATTAAGTTATCCTGAGAGACTGGAGAGATACTGAGTAAAAACAATAAGAGAAAGAAGGCTTAGGGGAGATCTGACTGAGACAAGTGGATACTACAATTGCGACATGTCAGGAAGAAATTTTGGGAAGGGAGAAAAGGAAAGAAAATTATGTGACCTGCAAGTAAACACAACTCAGAGAAGTAAGAATAGCTTCATCGGTTTTACCGCCTGCTATTGGACAACATACTATAAAAAAAAATCGGAATCCTTGAATAATATTTTTTGTATTAGTGCTGATCTCGTTATCCTTGACTCTGGCACAATTGATGCTGCACTATCTGATCATCAAGCTATTTTTGCAGAACTTTCATTGCCTATGAAACTATTCGAATCGAAGACGAAACATTTTTCTTAATTTAAATTCTGCGATAACTCCGAATATACTAACAATTGACCCATGGTTAAAAGGAGAGTTTTAGCTTCAAATGAGCCATATTATCTCATGTTTAAATATTTGTACTCGATACACCCTGTATACTTTACATTTTTTTTTTTTAGAATGTTCCTTCAGAAAGTAACATGGACGATCCTTTTCACGATAGAGATGCCATTATAACACAAATAGGCAGCAGTGATGACTTAAATTTGCTACAATCGGTTAGGAGGAGAGTGGAAATGAAAAAAGATAAAGTCCAAGTTGGATCGCTCAACGTATTGTCTGCCAAATTTGAGGTAAGTTTTCATACAATTTAATGTTTCCTTTTTGATAAAAATAAGGCATTTTTAGAGTTTAGATTATGAAAACTGTGAAAATTACCTGTTGTTGGACGAAGAGAGGAAAAAGGGCTTTAAATTTCTAGTGAGAAAAAATATAGCAAGATGGTTTGTGTTTTTACTTATTGGCATGTGTACAGCTTTAGTAGCTTGCATTATAAATATTTCCATAGAGGAACTTAGTGAAATTAAATATGCCAAATTAAGTTCATGTATCCTTTTTTTTTTCAATCCAGTATTTGTATGTATTTATGTAGAATAAATCCTTAATAATTCCAATAGATGTTGACGAATATGTGACGCAAGGCTCTTTATACATTCCTTATTTCTACTGGGTTTTATTCAATGTAGTCCCAGTAGGTATCGGTTCGTTTCTAGTAGCCTATCTGGAACCGATTGCAGCCGGCAGTGGAATTCCTCAAGTAAAATGTTACCTAAACGGCATTAATATACCCCGAGTAGTCAGAATAAAGACACTTTTCGTAAAAAGTGTCGGTGTTATTTGTTCAGTTGTAGGCGGACTGGCAGGTGGAAAAGAAGGCCCGATGATACACAGTGGAGCCGTTATAGCGGCGGGAATTTCGCAGGGAAAGAGCACGACGTTTGGCAAAGATTTTGGTGTTTTCAAGTATTTTCGCGAGGATCATGAAAAAAGGGATTTTGTTTCGGGCGGTGCGGCTGCTGGAGTTGCTGCTGCTTTTGGAGCACCAGTTGGTTAGTAGAATTGACTTTATTATGTAACTTAAATTGTATTTTTATCTGTGTAACCACACTAGGTTACTTGCTGAACTATAGAAGATCATCTAGATTATTTCCAAATTATTCCTTTTTAGGTGGAGTATTATTTTCCCTTGAAGAAGGCACGAGTTTTTGGAATCAAAGCCTCACTTGGAAGACATTTTTTGCCTCAATTGTATCCACGTTTACACTCAACTTGGTTCTGTCAGCGTATCACGGAGCGCCTGGAAACCTGACATATCCCGGCTTATTTAATTTGGGCGAATTTGAATCGTTTACTTATAAAATATACGAGATTCCTTTGTTTATTATTATGGGAGCAATTGGGGGGCTGTTGGGTGCGTTTTGGAATCATATCAATTATAAAATTACAGTTTTTAGGATGAGGTATGCAACAATTAATTAATTTGTTTTATGTTTATATAGTTTATGTTTTCAGATATGTTCGTCCAAGGTGGTTGAAAGTGATTGAAGCATGTTTAGTAGCAGCAGTGTCAGCTACTGCGGGATTTTTGTTGATGTATCTCATCAATGATTGTAGACCAAGAGGGCAAGATCCTACCAAGTTTCCTACACAGGTAAATGATTCATTGAACTACTTTATTTTAAATTACATTACAACGTCATTATGTTCTTGAGCTTGAGGGCTTATATTTTCTTGGAAAACTACCTCAACTTTGTCCATAATCTGATTGATTTTTTCAATTTTCTTTGTTTGACAATTGCCAATCAGTTCCAGAGCCTCTATTTGTCCACGTAGAGCCCAAACTCGTTTTTGGGCTGCAATTTCGAGTTTTTGAGTTCCAATGGCAATGGTATTGTCGTTGGTTTCCTTTTTCCACGGACATTCGTTGGTTTGTTCGGTTTTTTCATTGATGTTGGCTGAGTAGAAATCCTGGAACAAAAGCCTAAATTAATTTATAATTATAATACAAAGTACAGGGTGTTTTTGAAGTGAATACTTCTATGGCCGCACGAGAGTGATTTTTCAAGGTCGCGTCACGACACGATTTATAAAATTTTCGTCTCGCAAGTGAGATGAACCATATGATGAATATGAGGGAGAGAGGAAGTATTCACTTCTATCACGTGTACTGAAGTGAATACTTCTTTGGCCGCATGAGAGTGATTTTTCAAGGTCGCGTCACGATACGAATTATAAAATTTTCGTCTCGCAAGTGAGATAAATCATATGATGAATATGAGGGAGAGAGAGTAAGTATTCACTTCGATCACGTGTACTGTGCTGCACGCGACTTTTTTTTATATATTGACACCTCACAAGTAGATGAAAGGTGTTAATACAAAAGTTGTACAGTATTGGCTAAATTTTTAGAATTCATGGTCAGAAACAAAAATTGAATGTCAGAAATGTGAAATGTTGCATGCTTTCAGCTTTTTTCAAATGGGATGCTCTATATTTAGTTCTATATTCTTGAAGAGCACAATTTCCCGATTCCAAAACTATATAGTTTGTCTATATTTGATCGAGCCGTTTCCAACATATTTGATTCTAAAAATTTTAAAAATACTATCAGAGAAACCAAGTATCCCAAATTTGACCTGCAACTTTCACCTGTATAGGTAGAATGGTTCACAAAATCAGTAGTAGGATAGTATTTTTACAATTTTTGGAGCCGAATATATGAGAGACTGTTCAATCAAATATAGACAAACTATATATTTTTGGAATCGGGGCACTGTGGTCTTCAATAATATAGAATGAAATATAGGGCATCCCATTTAAAAAAAGTTGGAAGCATGCAAAATTTCACATTTCTGACCTTCAAATTTTGTTTCTGACCATGGCATCTAAAAATTCAGCCAAAACATTACAACTTTTGTATTTATACCTTTCTTCTACCTGTAAAGGTAAAGGGTGTAGGTGGGGGTCAATATATAAAAAAACACCCTATACAAATAAGTGGATTATTGCGGAACTTTTGGGTGGACCTCTGCGGGACGAGCGTAGCGAGTTCCGCAGCCATCTATTCACCAATATACTGTTAAACTATTCAAATAAGACATTCACCTGAAATGTGTAGTTTTTGAACTGAGAATAACTCACATTTGAGTGAGTCAGGTTAGTATCGTAATTAAACAATATATTGATAAATAGATGGCAGAGGTCCACCCATAAGTTCCGCAACAATCCACTCGTTTGTACTTGAATAACTTGTCACATTATGTTACTAGTTTGGTAAAGTAACATTACTAATTCTTGTTGAAAGGCAAATTGACAAAAAGTGGATAATCTTACAAATTCTGACTTTATATAAGTTATTGTTCAAGTACAAATAAGTTGATTGTTGCGGAACTTATGGGTGGACCTCTGCGGGACGAGCGCAGCGAGTTCCGCAGCCATCTATTCATCAATATATTGTTTAATTACGATACTAACCTGATTCACTCAAATGTGAGTTATTCTCAGTTTAAAAACTACAAGTTTTAGGTGAATGTCTTATTTGAACAGTTCAACAGTATATTGGTGAGTAGATGGCTGCGGAACTCGCTGCGCTGGTCCCGCAGAGGTCCACCCATAAATTCCGCAATAATCCACTTATTTGTACAAAGTGTGTTTTATATATATATTGACCCCCCACCTACAGCCTTTACCTTTACAGGTAGAAGAAAGTTTTAAATAAAAAAGTTGTACAGATTTGGTAAATTTTTAGAATCCATGGTCAGAAACAAAATTCGAGGGGGTAATAACTAGACCAAAATTTGTACATGTATTGCGCATTACATGAGTAAGTATTTCCGGTAATTCCAATATAATGCCAGTAATTACATCATAATGCCATGTAATTTCAAGTAATGCCATTATAATTATGTATACTTTGTATACTTAGGCTATATGAAATAGTTTCACAGTTTTACATAAACCGATCAGAAAAACAAACCATCATACATTGTTGAAAACAAACATCACATCCTATAATTTGTATATAATATTTATTATTATTCTATAGATAGTTATTTTTCTAAGGCTCTAGTTATTCATCTGCAGATAAACTTGCTGGTAACTATCTGCAAGATAACTCGAGAGATAACTTCACTGTTCTATAATTCTATTGGTCAGCCGATAACTGGCCGAACAATGGGATTACAGACTACGTTTTTTTGCCTACCTGACAGTTTATCAGAAGGTAGATAAACCGGTCCTAAATCTGAATAAAATGCTATATGCGTAATCCATTTTACAAAAACCCCAGCAAAAATCGTTTCAACTTGTTAAATACATATTGTCTTCCATTTTGGTAGGTTTTTACAATGGTTAATTTATTCCTCGATTTATCCTGTCCTAAGAGTTGAAATGGTTTGGATCCAATTATTTTATTGGTCCATAAAAAATGTAAGCCTTGTCTACCAATGTTGTCTACAGATTGTACGTCATTGTCGCGAGGCTATATGAAATTTCAAGATCATAGCTTTGTTTGGAGTCGAAAAAAGGAAATCAATCAACAAAATGACAAAGGCTCGGCTATCACAAATTTCAATAATAAACTGTGCGAATGTTTTGAACCGATCTACAACTGTCCTTTTTTCTAACCCGAACAAACCTTATAATTTTCAATTGTTTCTAGTTTAAAAACAGTCGATTTTAGATAAAGCACATTGAGTAGATTCCAAAGATGATAATAATATATAGGGTGTCCCGTTTGAAACAAATACATATTTTACTGTAACTTTTTTTTAAATTCACCCTGTATGTGAAAATAATTTTAATTTTATAGATACGCAAACTTTCCCAAAATTATTTTAAATATTGAGGTACCTAAGTAATATGAATATGATCTTCCAGTGGATGTTTGGAAAATTTGAGGGTTAATAAAAAAATAGATGCTCGATTAATACCTCATTAAATACATACAATTATTGTATGTAGGTACATTGAAACCTTGAAAATCAATCGCTAGATCAACCATAATTTCATTGAATGTAAGCGTAATTTCGCCATATTCGTAGGTAATGCCTTGTAATGTCAGCGTAATTTCTGGTGATACCGAGTATTGCATAGGAGTAAGTGAGGAGTAATGCCACCGTAATGCCTGTAATATTGACAGTTGAGTTGTAGAGGGCGCTTCTGTACTTGGAGTTTTTTAAATTTTGGCGCGTGAATAACCGAATGTAATTTAACGTCAAAAGCTTGTAGTTTCTGCTTCTGCTTTGATGAAGAAATGGTGAATTGTTGTGTACCGTTGTGCAATTCTGTAAACTCAGTACACAGAATTCCTGTAAAAAAAATCCATTCTTTTTCACAAATGGATTATTGCCACGCGAATAAATCGACATGTATCGTCTTCTAGTCGAATATGCAAAAAGCATTTCCGGAAAGAAGATTACGCACTTCCAAAGGAGTCTTTTTCTGCAAGTCGTAAGTAGACACGCATGCCCCCAACTATGTTCAACATTGTGCTAATAAATTTTCAATGATTTCACCAAACCGTCTAGCTCATATTGTCGCCCTAATATCTTGGTTAAGAAAAGAAAAGAGTTTAAGTACTGTACAACAATCAGAAGTGAGTGTTGCACAAGGAACGGATGAAACCAACGCTTCTTTAGACACAGGCGGAAAAAATAAATCATTTTAGTGAATTAAAAACTCCGTCTTTCAACAAACTGCGAGATTCTAAGTAGTGTGCAATGTGTTCTGATTGGCAATGATAACGACAAGGAGAATGTCGACTCCAGCCAAAACTCAGAAAAAAGCCAAAGAAAATAGGAAGGGAATTGTAAAATACCTTATTTAGTTGACGCTAACAAGTTTATACAAGCTGAGTTTAAGATAGAACACCTAATAAATAGACCAGATGAACTACAGTTCTATACTGGCTTTGATAGCTAGCTATGAACATTTTATGTTTATCTTCAATTTATTTGGCCCCCAAGTAAATCGACTGAAATATTATCTGGATTTTAAAGAGTGTACTAAACCCAGGATCTTGTCTCCACAGAATGAGTTTTTTTTTAACTATGGTAAAAATCAGGCGAAATATGTGCAACAGAGAAATTCACTTCAAATTTAATATCAGCGCATCTACTGTTAGTAATATTTTTATTACTTAGATAAATTTTTTATACTGCCAATTTAAATAATGAAATATGTGGACTCCTGGGAAAACTATAAACGAAAATTTAAAAATTGAGATTGTGAGAGTTCTGTAATTATCATTGATTGCACAGAAGTAAAACTTGTACATACCAAGAATCCTCTAGCTCAACAACAAACATATTCCATGTACAAATCTTCTAATACAGTAAAAGCGTTAGTTGATATTTCTCCTACTGGAACAGTAACTTTTTTATCTGAAGCATATGGAGGATCAACAAGTGATAGAGAGTTGTTTGAACGATGTGGTTTGATAGACCTTCTTGAAGACAAAGACAACATAATGTGCGATAGAGGCTTCAATATACAAGATATTGTTGCACATAAAAATGTGACCGTTAATATGCCAGAATTCCTAAAGCACAATGCAGGTCAGTTTGAGCCAGAACAGCTAGTACGTTCCAAAAAAATATCATCAAAAAGAATTCATATAGAGCGAGTTATAGGACTGGGCAAGACATATAAAATATTAAAGGGCATATTTGAAATAAATCAGCTCCAGTTAACTGGACGTCTTATTTTCGTTTGTTTTATGCTTACTAACTTTCGAAGTAATATTGTTATTTCCAAATTATAGAGTTTCTAGATTTTTTATCAATTTCAATAAGTTGTAAGATAAATTAAAAAAGAGAAATCACGCATAATTATTTCTGGATAGTGGATGAGATTAAGCAGTCACACTAAAATAGGTAACGCTTATTTGGGTACAGTCAGGAGTTTGTTTATTTTACCTACGGTTTATTGAATTTTTGAACTTGTAAAATCTTGCGCGCTTAGCATTTTTTTGTGGGAACTGAATGAAACTGAGCCGTCAGATGACAATCAGTCAGAGCAAAATTTACTTAGAGTAGGTAATTTATACACAATTTTAATTGTATAGGTATTTACCTATACATTAAGTCAAGACTATCTTGAAACAACAAATTATCTATTTTTGTTACAAAAAATATCTCAACAATCACAAAAAAAAGTAAAATTGACTATGAACTACCTACGTTTCAAATTTAAATAAGGTAGGTACCTTCTTTAGTCTTTAGGTAAATAATACAGCTTTAATAATACAACGATAATACTAAATTGAAAACAAACAAATATAACATAAAGTAGGTATCACGTAAGTATCACGTAATAATCATAGCATAGATTTACTAATGTAACCCCTTAATCAATTCGATACAATTTTTGAAGAAGCTAAATAAGGTTCTTTGATAGACAAAAACAGACCACATTGCTGAATATTGTTGCCAGTTTTCTGCTGATATCCGTCCTTTGCCATTACTTCCTTAGATTTTCCCCATATAATTGGTGGTGTATTTAATGGTTTAGGATCAATCAGTCCTTGGGCAAAAGCTTTTTTATCTCGTTTTTCGGTAAACCAACAAATCTGTCCTACGCTTGAAGCAGTAATTCGATATTTTCGTTCGGCATGCCACATTTTGCAGTTAGCTTGCTTTCTGGTGTTTTTTTCAATTTGAAGAGCCGTTTCAAAAGAGACCTGCATAATGTAACAACACGTTTTTGATGAAGATGTTTAATAACATAAAGTAGACTACCTCAATTTTGTTTCGAATAAATTTAAGCACCGCATAACAAATAACCGCTACATGCTTACAAACAGCTTTCTAAGATTTCCCTGCAGCACATTCGCAGTTTGATTGTATGATTTGTCCTTCTGTTGAAATTACTACTTTCACAAAGTATGTTAAAGCTTTTGTATTTTCTGAGTTCACCTGGCCTTTGTAAAAAAAAAATCTTCAATTTTTGCTTCAATTATTGCAGAAATAAATTCATTGCACATCATTCCATATGCTTTTTTGTGCACCGCTTCATATTCACTCATGGCAATATTGTTTTTATAGGCGTTTAAAAAGTAAAAGCTTATGTTAACAATATCAATTTCTAAAGCACCAGACGACAAGCTGACTCTTCTAAAAATATTGTCTACGGGCCACTCAACGTTTTGGAAGTTGTCGTTAGTTAGCTCATCAACAATTTCCCCTGCAAAATTGTCGTTCCTGTCGTAATCCTTGAGTCTAAAAATTTCATTTGATTTTATTAAAAAACTTTTCACTTTACAAATTATTTATGCTTTACATATACATATATTTTAAGAGGAAAGAAATATACATGTATACCTTTGAATTGATTCTTCCTTTGAGTCCGAACATTTTGCACCTCTCAGTCTCAATTGATTTTTTAAGTTATTCACTGTCCATTGTACATATACTATCCTACTACTGATTTTGTGATCCATTCTACCTGTATAGGTGAAAGCTGCAGGTAGAATTTCAGGTACTTGGTTTCTCTAATAGTATTTTTAAAATTTTTAGAACCAAATGTTGGAGACAGTGTAGTGTGTAACATCCTGTAGTTACAATAGGGTTTCACACCCTATACATTATGTAGCAATTGTATGTTTAACATTCAAATATAAATATGTATAATTAATAATAGGCAATATTGCTTATGATGAGTTTTAAAGATAACTAGGTTAATTAGAATAAACATGCCGTCAAAAGAGGGCATATAGTTTTTGACGATTGTATTAATGTCTTCGAACTAATAAACATAAGTTGGGTTTTGTAAAAACCTTGTGTTTGATTTAAAAGTATCAAGATAACCCTGCAAGGTTATCACATGGCGATCCTGCCAATCGAATTATGGTTCTAAATGGTATGGTTGAAGGGAAAAACTAAGTAGAGCTGGGAAGTATTGGGAATTTGGAAACCGAAAAGGCTAGAAAGCACAAAAACCATGGGAAATCAAAAAACTAAAGAGGTCAAGGAAGAAGTCATAATAGCCCAGGCAGGCAATAGTGGAGGAATAACGGATACTACAAGTCAAGCGGTAACATCAACTAGGGACGTTTTGGTTTTGATTGTTTTAGGTCTGGCAATTATTGGTATAGGCATACTTTGCTATATAAGATGTAAGAAACAACTGGAGAGGAAAATTAGACGGGAAATATCTAAAAGCACCGATCGAGTTTAAATTGGATATATGGAAATGGATATGATATGGTGGATGAAAAAGAATTTCGTTACTTATTAGAGGAATTAAAAGTATTTTATAGGAATCTAAACAAAGACTCCCAGGAAAGAAGAGAAAATGTTAGTGTAATTAGACGTAAGTTAGAAAAAATTAATAAATTAGAATTAGAATTTAAAAATTTGAGAGATAACTTCAATACTAGTAGGCAAGAGGCTGATACTATAAAACAAGTCAAGCTACAGGTAGATGGCATAGTAAAATATTTTGAGACGATAAAATCGATTTTAGATGATAGGTTAGAAAGTTCAGAGCAGATAATAAATATAGAAACCATGGCGGGAAAGTTTGATTTACGCACCGCTGCTAGTTTATTACCTGCTATGGATGGTTCTGAAAATGGGACGAAGTTGCTTGTTGATGCCATTGAGTTGTATGACTCGTTGTTAGACAATGATGGTAAAAAACTACTAACTCTCTACGTTTTGAAAACTCGTCTAACGCAGAGCGCAAAAATTAGATTGAAAGACGAGTACGACAATAACCAATTACTTATTGCTGATATTAAAACACACTTTTTGACAAAAAGGTCTGCTACAACTTTATCTTCAAAGCTGAGCAATGCTAGGCAAGGCTCTAAATCCCTGGACGAGTTTGGTAAAAACGTAGAAGAGTTGTTAGTTGATTTAACCATAACACAGGCTGATGGTAACGCCAATGCAGTCGGAATTTTGAGAAATGTTAATGAAAAAATTGCCATTAACACTTTTGCCAACGGCCTGCAAAATCCCGAATTGCGAACTATTATCAAGGCTAGAAATTACTCGACATTAAATGAGGCAATACGCGGCGCCAAAGATGAGGAGCTACCAAATCAAAATAAAATTTTTCATTTTCGCGGGCACGGCCGTGGAAATTACAGGGGCACTTTTAACAATTACAATAGAAACCCTCACAACCGTGGCTCCTTCAACAACCATTTTAATAAAAATTCCTACAACAGCCGGGGATCATCTACTAAAAATCCAAATAGGGGAGGTTTTAATTCGAGACAATCTTCTCAACGAAACAATGGCATTAATAGGGGAAGTTTCAATAGATACAATTCTCAAAATAGGAATAACAACAATAATTATTCCCAACGAACTTTTTACATGCAAAATGACCAAGAAAACACTGATATCGTAAATAGTACTTCAACATTTTTTCGTGGCCCATCAGGAACAAATTAGTAATGATTCTGCAATCATATTAAATTTAAATGGCTTAAATTACGTTAAATTTACTTATAACGATGAAGAATTATTTTTCTTACTAGATTCTGGGGCGTCAGTCAGCGTCATTTTCAAAAAATTTATTTCAACACATGAAATTGTTGATTTTTCAAACCGGGTCAAAATAAATGGGATTTCAGGGTCAACAATTTCACAAGGTTCAGCAAATATTACATTGAAATTTAATAATGCAGATATAGTGCACAAGTTTTTGCTGATGGATGCGTTTGAGAACGGCATTCACGGGGTCATTGGGGCAGATTTTTTTTATAAATTCCAGGCAATTATCGATTATGAAAAATTTATATTTTCTTTTTTTGTGAACGATACTCAGATTTCTCTACCTATAGAATGCAAGTACGATTTTTACACAACGATACCAGCTCGCTGTGAGGTAATCAAATATTGCTGGGTAGACGAGAACGAGGAATGTTTAGTTTTACCTGATGAACTTTGTGAAGGCGTTTTTGTCGCAATTATGACCAAACCAATTAGTAATATGATACCTGTTAGAATACTTAATACTCGTAGTGAAGATGTGAAGCTAAAAAATTTCAAACCAAAAACCAGTAACTTAAATAATTTTGAAACCTGCGAATTCAGTGATAATGCGATATCGGTTGATAGGTTAGATAAAATTTTCAAATTAATAAATACAAATCATTTGAACCAAGAAGAAAATTATTCATTACAGAGAGTTTGTGCAAAATACGCAGATATTTTTCACTTAGAGGAAGATCCGCTTACTGTAACAAATATTTATGAACAAGCTATAACACTCCAAAAATCAGCCACACCGGCATATACAGGGTGGTCCTTCGGGAATGACATCGATTGCTTATGGGAAAACTGTGAAAGGTAAAAATTTGAAAATTTGGCAACATAGCAATGTCGATGGGGGACATCTAGGTAAAATATTTTCAAGATGGCGGCATTTCCGGTCATACCGGAAGTTGATACCAACTCGGTTATTTTAAATAGAACACTCCGTATATAAATGTATTTTTGGATTCTACATAAAATTCTGAGCAGATTTCATGTAATATACCCTATACCTAAGTTCAACTGTTTTGGAAATATTGACAGTTGAAAATTGACTTTTTGCAACTTTGACAGGCTGTAAAACCTGAACAGTTAATTTTAGAGGAAACCCGATTTGACATTCCTATCTTAGATTTTTATAAACTATCATTTGACATCAACTTTGAATTAAATCCATGATTAAAAATTTCAGTTAAATTTAATCTCCGTTTAAGTTCAAAGTTGGTGTCAAATGATAGTTTATCAAAATCTAAGATAGGAATGTGAAATCGGTTTTCCTCTAAAATTAACCAATTAGGTTTTACAGCTTGTCAAAGTTGCAAAAAGTCAATTTTCAACTGTCAATATTTCCAAAACAGTTGAACTTAGGTATAGGGTATATTACATGAAATCTGCTCAGAATTTTATGTAGAATCCAAAAATACATTAATATATGGGGTGTTCTATTTAAAATAACCGAGTTGGTATCAACTTCCGGTATGACCGGAAATGCCGCCATCTTGAAAATATTTTACCTAGATGTCCCCCATCGACATTGCTATGTTGCCAAATTTTCAAATTTTTACCTTTCACAGTTTTCCCATAAGCAATCGATGTCATTCCCGGAGGACCACCCGGTATAAAGCCTTACCGTTTACCACATGCACAAAAGGCAGAAGTTCATAAACAGGTTCAAAAAATGCTTCAAGACGGTATTATCGAGGAAGCCAGATCAGAATGGTCAGCACCATTACTAATCGTTCCGAAAAAGGCTGATAGTAATGGCAATAAAAAGTGGCGTGTAGTTATCGACTACAGGCAGCTAAATAAGAGGATCGAGGACGATAAATTCCCTCTACCCTGTATAACTGATATTTTGGACTCTCTCTCTGGGGCGGTTTATTTTTCTCACCTTGATTTGTCTCAATCGTACTACCAAATAGGGCTAGAAGCAAAGAGCCGACATTGTACAGCATTCACGACAGATCGAGGGCAGTACCAAATGACTAGGCTGCCAATGGGATTGAAAATTAGTCCTAGTTCTTTCTCCAGAGCGATGACGATTGCTATGACTGGATTGAACTATGACAGTTGTTTTATTTATTTAGACGATCTTATAGTGTTTGGAAATAATCTCATTAATCATAACAAAAATCTCACAAAAGTTCTACAAAGACTTAAAGACGTAAACTTAAAATTAAACCCTAGTAAATGCAATTTCTTAAGAAAAGAAATTGTATATCTGGGACATATTATTGCATCTGAAGGTGTCTCGCCTGATCCTGAAAAAACAAAAGTAATTCAAAATTATCCAATTCCTAAAGATGCAAACGAAACTAAAAGATTTGTCGCATTTGCAAATTACTATAGAAAATACATTCCAAACTTTGCCAATATTGCGGCACCACTAAATAACCTGTCCCGAAAAAACGTCAATTTTAATTGGACTACTGAATGTCAAAATTCCTTTATCCAATTAAAAGATGCATTGATTCACCCACCAATCTTACAATATCCGGATTTTTCTCCAGATAATGATTTCATATTAAGGACAGACGCATCAGGTTATGCTGTAGGCGCTGTTTTATCTAATGGAAATGATAAGCCAGTGGCATATGCAAGTAGGTCTCTAAACGTAGCTGAAAAAAGATACTCAACAATAGAGAAGGAGCTAACAGCAATTGTTTTTGCTGTAAAGCACTTCAGGCCGTATCTGTTTGGACGAAAATTTTTAATTCTTACTGACCATCGACCACTTGTATATCTTTTTGGCATGTCTAATCCTTCTAGCAGATTAACAAAGTTTCGTTTGACTCTTGAAGAGTATGATTTTACAATTCAGTATGTGAAGGGTAGAGATAATGTAACAGCAGACGCATTATCTCGCATAGAAATAACATCCGATCAGCTTAAGGCAATGAGAGACAACGTGGATGAAACAATATACGTCCAGACGAGAGCACAAACTAAAAATCTCAACAAAAATAATTCTGATGACAAACAGGCGGGCAAGGATATTCCTCATAAAAGGCTTGATCACCCTGGAGTGGTGGAAATTCTTAAGCCTGCTGAAAACTCAGTTGAATTAAGTGTCATAGCAGACAAAAAATACTGCGAAATAATTAATGGGAATAATTATGATTATAAAATTGGGAACTTCGCTTGTGTCAGAGCAGAAAATAAAATTTACATGAAGCAGGACACCCGATCGGCGTTCGCATTAACTGCATCGCTGAGGGACCTGAAAAATATCTGTATAAAGTACAAAATTCCGGAAATTTATATTTTAAAAAATAAAGCATGCATGCAGATAATTAACGAAGTAAGCAAAGTCCCAAATGAAATAAAAAATGCAGGTATAAAAATTTCTATAATCAAAGATGTAAAGAAAATAGACGATAGTGAGACTAGGGAAATAATAATTAACGATTTTCATATTCTCCCAATCGGAGGCCACGCAGGGGTCAATCGGTTATATAACAACATAAAAAAGTATTACTTTTGGGTTGGCATGAAAAAAGATGTAGAAAACTTTATACGGAAATGTGACGATTGTCAAAGGTACAAACACTCTAGGCCTAATGTTGAACCAATGACAATAACAACAACAGCAAGTTGTGTATTTGAAAAAGTTTTTCTAGATATCGTCGGACCACTCGAAGTAGATGCTCAAAATAATCGATATGTCCTAACTCTACAGTGTGAGTTGAGCAAATTCGTGGAAGCTTACCCGTTACAAAATAAGGAAGCTGAAACTGTGGCAAAAAGTTTTGTTAATAATTTTATTTTGCGGTATGGAATCCCGTCCGAGATCGTTTCTGATCGTGGGTCGGAATTTATGAATGAAACTTTGGATAAAGCTTGCAAACTTTTAAAAATAAAGAAATTAAATTCCACAGCTTACAGGCATCAAACTTTGGGGTCCCTTGAAAATACGCACAAGTCTCTGAATGCATATTTACGCATTCAATGTCAAAATTTTAAAACTGATTGGTCTTCATGGTTACCATTTTGGTGTTTCTGTTTTAATAATACAGTGCATACGGAAACCAAATATACCCCCCATGAGTTAGTTTTCGGCAGATTGTGCAACATTCCGTCTAATATAACTCAAAAAGTAGACCCTGTTTATAACTTCGATAGTTACCCTATAGAGCTCAAATACCGTTTACAGGAAGCATGTAGGGACGCGAGGAGTAACTTATTGACATCAAAAAGCAACCGTAAATTGAATTATGACAAAAATTGTAAAATTGTTAAATACAACATTGGGGATAAGATTTTACTTAAAAATGAAGCAGGAAACAAAAGTGAGCCCATTTATAAGGGTCCTTATATTGTTACGCAAATTAACTCTCCAAATATTGTAATTAGAATAGGTAAGAAATTTGTAGAGGTACATAAAAATAGAGTTAAGTTATACTATGAATAATCTTTTTAGGGTTAAGTTATCCTATGAATAATATTTTTAAGAGTTAAGATATACTATGAACAATGTTTTTTTTTTTGATATTTTTTTTTTAGTTCCATAGGAGGTGTAGTGTGTAACATCCTGTAGTTACAATAGGGTTTCATCAAGATAACCCTGCAAGGTTATCACAACAGCTCAACCAAATATAGACAAACTATATAGTTTTGGAATCGGCATCCAATTTGAAAAAAGCTGAAAGCATGCAATATTTCACATTTCTGACATTCAATTTTTATCTCTGACCATGGATTTTAAAAATTTAGCCAATACTGTACAACTTTTGTATTTACACCTTTCATCTACCTGTAAAGGTAAAGGTTGTAGGTGGGGTGTCAATATTTAAAAAAACACCCTGTACTTAGTGATTTTTTGGTTAACATTAGGCATCACTTCTGCAAAAGTACCTAGGTACTATTGTGATATTTATAAAAGTGTGTTATCTACATGGCAAATTAATATTATTGTGACTTTGAACTATAGTTACTGAGGCATGAAGTAAAATTATCAGAATCAAATGTGAAATTGTTTAATACTGCCAAGCCCATGAACATCTTCATAACATTAGTCCATTACTTTCAGGCAATTTGGTCAGATTTTGAGTTCAAAAATATATGAATCAGAATAAAATATACCATTTTGAATGAAGTGTTTCAGAAACAAGGTTTCTATACCCTTAATTCTTATGCTGCTAGAGTACCCTATATGGGAATATCCGATTCAATGGTGGTATTTGCACTGTTGCCAAGTTTACCGTTTCTAAGATGCCATATGTAATTCATTTTTTTTAAATGAAAGTCCCTGATTATTCGTATTATAATTAATTCAGCGTCTCAACATTACCAAAACCCTTGAATTCCAAACATACATTTGACTTGGTTTTTGAAATATGACAACACGGCTTTTTTATTTAAATGTATGGAAAACGTCTCATATTTCAAAACAGGCTTTAGAAAAATGTACACAATTTCCACCGTAAAATTCTTGAATACGCATTATCATAGTAGGAAATATGTTGTATGCGATCTGTAATGTTAGACTGTTTCCATACATAACGACTACTCTGTATACTGTATATTGACATACTACAAAGTAATGAAATGAGATTTCTTACCTGTAAATTCTCCACTTCCTTTTCATCTCTCAGCACAACCATCAATTTATCCTTGATATTTTTCTCCATTTCTTTCTTTTGAGTTTCCAACATTTTATTGTCGATTTGCTTCTGTAAAACTTGAGGTCCCATCGTGTCGACTTCGAGCTGCAATTTTTTCGACTCCCTCGCGAAATTTTCAACTTCGTTTTTCATATCGATGGCCTTCTTGACCAGCGTCATTCTTTCGTCGAAACGCATCTGCCTTTTCTGTTCTTCGAGGGTGAGCGCCAACGATTTATTCATTTTTTGGATGAGTTTTTTCAGGAGAAATTATTCAAAAATTTAATAGTATTTTTCAAAACGATGTGATTCGTGATAATGGCCTACTTCAATCAGCGTCATCTACATCAACAATAAGGGGCAAGTTTTTAAAATCAGTAATGGCGTATGCGCATTATCGCCGGTGTAATGCTGTCCTTGTCATTTGACAGCAGCAAAACAAGGATAGGTTATTCTTCAAGAGAAATGCCCATAAGCAAAGGTGAATTTAAAAACTTGGCCAAGTTGTAGGTGGCATTGGTTCTGTCACTAGGCAATGTAGGCATCTTCGGTTTTTGTTTTTTTAAAATTTAGACTTAGAATTATTTCTCGCTTTGACGTAGACTGTTTAAACTTTTGACTTAGTTATGACGTCGGAAATGGTGACACACCAATATGGCGGCGATTTCCTCCCAAAAACGAGACTGATAAGCAATCCTGTAGGTGTGTATCATCTTTGACTCGCAGGAGCATTTAGTTAGCTCTCTTCTAGACAAACTAGTGTCAAAATATGTGCTTCTCTTTCTTCTACTACTTGTAGAATAAGACAACAATACTCTTGACCTGAAGTGGTTGCTAACTTAATGAAGCTAAAAGGAACCAATCGGAATGTTTGAAAGTGACAGTTGTGGGGTTTAATTTTTGTAGTAGCTAGCTCAAATATGGAAACGCTCTTTTATTTGGAGTGACTTGCTTCAGCTATAGGAAAATCCTTGAAAATCCCTTCAATTCTGCTCTTTTCTTTCCTTTGGAAGTTCCAAGAAAACTTTAAACTTTGATAAGCTTTCCGAAATTTTCATCAAAAACATAATGTTATCTCTTCAATTACACTCATAGAGAATACAGAATAGTTAGAAGGTAGAATGCTCAACTAAAAACTTGTGAAAAGCCCTTCAATTTGGGCTATTTTGATTTCTACTTCAAATTTGGATCTATGACTGGCTCTTGATTAGTTTGGTACACATTCGGACATAGAACGTCCATATTTAATCCACCAATGGACGCATTTTAAAATTTTCAATGGACAACCATTGACCCTATCTTGGAAAAGGTAATGGATGTCCAAAGGAATTCCATTTTTAAACAATAAAAAAACAAAAGTGTACCTACGTTATTTGGACATTCATTGGCCTTTTTTTTTAAATTATATTGAACGTATAGACGACGACGAATGTCCATTTTCAGTTAAAAATATACGTAATTTGAGACTTCAAATAGTCCACCTAAACGTCCATTGGTCTTTTTTATTAAATTATTGCTCTATTGTCTCTATTGACAATCAAGAGCTGGTAATAGTCCAAATTTTGATTATAACCGGCTCTTGGCTGTCACTATAACATTTTTCCAGTGAATCCAGAGCCAGTTTTATTCAGATTGCTCTAGGAGCAATCAAGAGCCAATAATAGTCAAAATTACCAGCTCTAAATTCATTGGAAAACTGCTCTAGGGCAATCAAGACCCGTTAATAGTCCATATTTTGATTATTATCGTCTCTTGGCAACCACTATAGCATTTCTCCCAGCGAATCAAGAGCCATTAATATTCAAAATTTGGACTGCATATTACCAGCACTCGATCCGCTAGAAAATTGCAAAAGTTGGGGATGTTATCAGTTCTCCATTAACTGAAAAATCGCTCTAGGAGCAATCAAGAGCCAATAATAGTCCAAATTACCAGCTCTAAATTCATTGGAAAATTGCTCTAGGGCAATCAAGAGCCGGTAATAATCCAGATTATGATTTCAATTGGATCTTGATCCACTGAGAAAATGTTGGACTATTCTCTGACTCGCTGAAAAATTCCTCTAGTAGCAATCAAGATCCGGTAATAGTCCATATTCCATATACATACAACAACTGAGGTCTATGATTAAGAAGGCAAGACTCAAATCTGAACAATACATCCTAGAGAAAAACGATAAACACTTTTACTCTTACATAAAAAGAAACCTCGACAGTCAACTACACGACATAGTATTGAAAAAACCCAGTAAATCAACGAATAATTGATGACCCTAGTGAAACGGCAGAGGCCTTTACCAACCAGTTTGAATCTGTTTTCACCAAAGAATCCTTCCGCAATTTTCCCACGATGCCAGATTAAACACGTAACCCAAATCAAATTAACAACAAGATTATCACACCTGAGGTGCTGAAGGAGCTAAAGACCTAATCGAGTCCAGGACCCAACGGAATACCTGCCATTTTCCTAACAAGATGTGCAGAATCCTTAACACCTCTATTAGTAAAAATTTTCAACAGCTCGCTAACAGAAGGCATCCTGCAAAAAATTTGGACCCATAATCCCAATTTTTAAGAGTGGAGACAAACATCATCCTGCAAACTACCGACCAGTAAGCCTGACATGCACACTCTGTTGAATAATGGAAAAAATACTTGCAAAAGATTTCATAAGTTTTCTACTGGAAAGTTCTATTATTCCACCGTCACAACACGGATTTCTACCACAAAGATCAACCACCAACAAGCTCTTGAATTGTGTAAATTATTAGACCAAAGAAGTTGATGAAGGCAACTCAGTAGATATAGTGTATCTTGACTTTCAAAAGGTTTTCGACATCGTTCCATATGAAAGACTTTTCCACAAACTTAGACCACTACAGGATTAGAGGATTCTATCTTCGGTGGAGTGACTCCTTTCTTAAATGTAGAAAATACGCAGTCAGGGTCAATGGAATCTGTTCAGAACTACACCCCGTAATCAGCGGTGTGCCGCAGGGAGCAGTGTTGGCTTCTATCCTCTTCATACTCTACATAGCAGAGCTAACCAAAAGTTGCAGACAAAAAGATGACAAAAAACTCTTCTGCAACCCATTGAAGTAATTGGATCAGTTTAAAGAGGACCTCAGTACAATCGAACGATGGACTGACATGTGGCAGCTGAATCTGAACGAACAGAAATGTACAGTGCTGCATGTAGGAAAAAATAACCCGATGATTGACTACAAAATTAAGGGAACCAAGCTAGAGAATGTTAACCAACAAAAAGAGTTGGGCGTGCACGTAAGCCAAGATCTTAAATGGGAAACACACATTGGCCGAGTTTTGAAGAAAGCGAATCAGTTGGTGTACCTAGTAAAAACGGCTTTTACCAATCACTCTATCCAAATGATCAAAAAAGTCTATACAACCTACATAAGGCCCAAACTTGAGTACGCACACACAGTCTGGAACCCGTACTACTGCAAGGATATAGAGCTGCTTGAACGTGTGCAACGAAGAATCACAATAATCACAATTGAAATGTATATCAGATTGGAAAGATTTAACTTAACAACTCTGAAAGAAAAAAGAGAAAGAGGCGACTTAATAGAGACCTATAAGATCCTGTGTGGACACTACTTCCCAGAACTGCATATGGCAGACATGTTTCAACAAAACATGAATAAAAACCTCAGAGGACACTATCAGAAGCTCAAGAAAGAGAAAACATCCTTAGCGTTAAGAAAAAACTTCTTATGCAACCGCGTAGTATACCAGTGAAATGCATTAAACCAGGATACTATAAACGCGCCTAACAAAAACATTTCCTTTTCAAGAATAGACTGGATCGAATTCTATCTGAACTTAACTCCACCCTAGTATACTGCTACTTCTAAACCCAATTAAAAGAAATGACGCAGAGAAGAAACAATAGACTCATCGGTGTCAAACCGCTTTCTATTGTCAAGCAAATAATAATAATAATAATAATAATAATTTTGCTTATAAAGGCTCTTGGATCTCATTGCATTTTTTCAATGAATCCAGAGCCGTTTGGACTATTTACCGGCACTCGATTCGCTGGAAAATTGTAAAAGTTGGGCAATTTTTCATTCACTGAAAAATTGCTTTGGGCTGGGAGCAATCAAGAACCAAGAAATCGAATTGCACAAAGAAATTTTCAAACAATCCATAGAACATGCTGAAGCCGCTATTCCTGAAGGAGATTTGTGGAAGATAGCTTGGGACACTGTTTACAAAATCTCAACTTGGAAGTTCAAAAAGAAGGGGCTTCTTAGCTCATTTAAAGAAGGATATAATCATCATACTAGAACCACTAAGGAGACCGTGTCTTTTCTTATAAACAAAATTTTCACCTGATAGTGACAATAAAAACCTCACGCCACAGCAAACTAGAAATAAAAGAGATTTTGAAGTTTTACAGTCCACCCTTCCTCGAGGCAAAGACGAACTCCAACCTAGAGGGATACAAGCTTGACCTTAAGAGCCGGTGATAATCCAAATTATGATTTTCACTGGATCTTGATCTTGATTCATTGGGAAAATGTTTTAACTATATTCTCTGGCTTCCGATTCGCTGGAAAATTGCTCTAGCAGCAATCAAGAGCTGGTGATGGTCCTCCAAATTTTGATTATTACCAGCTCTTGGCTGTCATTATAGCATTTTTCCAGTGAATCCAGAGCCAGTTCAAAATTTGGACTATTACTGGTACTCGAATCGTGACTAAATTTCTGGCATACAAAATACTTTGTGTTCTCGCTTTTTTTGAAATTTCCTTTGCTACACCAAGCAGTTGAAGCAGTTTGCTCCTCAGTGGATTTCTATCTGTCTTCTTCTACTAGTATTCTTGATATCAACTCAGATAGACTCTGATCTTGCTTTCGAGCCTTCAAGCTGAAAGTTGGGGATGGATGAGAAAAAATGGTGGATACCCTATCCCCATCAAGAATGTATATGATCAATACAGATGCCCATTTGACCCCCGACAGTGTCTTCAAAACGCTCTTCTGTCATATCATTGGTTGGGAAACAAAGTGTGGTTGCAAGAGAGCTGACATGAACTAATCTTGACACACACATCATTTTTTTTAAGCATTTTTAACTATACCTACTGGAACAGAGAGGATACAAAGACGAGTTACAAAACCAAAACTATCTTCGTGAGCACTCCAAGAAACTCGGAAAAGAAAAAACCGCAAAACTACCTAGAGGAAACTTTCTAAATAATACCTGGAATAAAATAGCAAAAAATATATAAATTGGGATGACACTGGTTGTAGAAGTCCCGTAGTCTAGTCAGCCAGGCACCTGCATCCTTCCTCTGGGTCCTTATTCTCCAGACAGAGGAGCAGCGTTCTTATGAGAACGAAGGTTCGGTCTTCGTCATCCATCTTTATATTTCCATAACACTGACAAAGACAGAGTAATCGTTCTCAAGGGAACGCTGTTCCCCGGTTTCGAGAATAGACATTCTGGGGAGACGTAAGTAGTCCACCCCAATAATTGAACCTATAGACGCGTGCCGACCTAAATTATTATTTTGAGCTACTGTAGCGATATTTCCTCGCTGCTTGTATTTTGTACAGGGAAGCTTACAATAGATTTTTTATGAAATTAATAAAAGAGAGCGACGTGATATTGAAATATCCCCGTATAATTCAGTGTTTCAGGTGAAAATAAAAATACTATAACTTCTTACTAAAACGATGAAATTTCAATTTTTTTTTGTCGAGATAAATCACCCAAATTGCTTAGCACGATTTTATCTCAGGAACTATAAGTCCAAATGAATTGAAATTTTCAGGGATTCAAGTCCCCTACTGGAATAAGATTCGCTAAAAATTTCAGCTTTCTATCTATAATAGAAAAAAAGTTATGACCTTTCAAAGTTTTCCAAAATCTAAATCATAACGTAGCTAGCTACTTACCTTCTTACTAAAACGATGAAATTTCAATATTTTTTTTGGTGAGATTTTGTATCCTAATGGTCAATCAACATACCCCAAACTCTATGCACTAAATTAATATCAGGCACTCAGAAAAATTAAATCACCACTAATTGCTTAACACGATTTTATCTCAGGAACTATAAGTGCAAATGAGCTGAAATTTTCAGGGATTGTAGTCCCTTGATTGGGATAAAATTCAGTGAAAGTTTCAGCTTTCTATCTTTAATAGAAAAAAAATTATGACCTTTCAAAGTTTTCCAAAATCTAAATCATAAGGTACCAATTTCAACATTTACTTCATTCCAGCTTTACTGTACGGATGGTCAATACAACGTCCTAGCCTCCATCTGGTTCCAAACGCCCGAAGCGTCCGTAAGATCCTTCTTCCACGATCCTCCGAACACCCACAATCCAGGATCTTTGGCTGCCTTCGTAGCGGTGTATTTCTTCCTAGCCTGCTGGACCTTCGGATTGGCTTCTTCAAACGGTTTATTTATTCCCACTTTACTTACTGGAGCCGCTTGGGGCAGGCTGATTTCTATAGGGGTGTTTTATATTTTCCCTGATGCAGTAAGTAGCAAGGATTTTTTAAAAATATTTACATTAATAGATTTGTTTTATAGGATATAGTGCATCCAGGTAAATATGCTTTGGTTGGAGCCGCAGCTCAATTAGGAGGCGTTGTCAGGATGACTATTAGTTTAACAGTTATTTTAATGGAGTGCACTGGCAATATTACGTTTGCCTTGCCGCTTATTATTGTTGTTATAACTGCCAAATGGACTGGAGACTTTTTCAATGAGGGCATATATGATACGCTTATACAATTAGCAGGGGTACCTTTACTGCCGTGGGAACCACCACCAGTAGTCAATAATATGTATGCCAGTGAAGTAATGTCGCATCCTGTGGTTACACTTAAATGTGTTGAAAATGTTGGTCATATTGTCGAGTTGCTTAAGTTGACTACTTATAATGGGTTTCCTGTTGTTGATCCACCTTTAACGGATCAAGTAAGAATAATTAATGTAGTGTTATGGTTAAATTTTGAGGTTTTTTTTTCTAGAACGAGGTTACTACTTATGGAAGAATAAGAGGCCTAATATTGAGGTCTCAGCTTATTGTGATATTACAAAAAAAAATATTTAATGAAACTCATGACTATTGGGATGATATCGGGCCTAGTCTTTTTAGGGACCAGTATCCTAGGTATCCAACAATAAATGTGTGTATTGTAAATTCAAATTTTATCTCATTTATATTTACTGGCTTTTTGTTGCAGGAAATATCAATCGAAGATAGTGAAAAGCCTTATTCAATTGACTTAAGGCCTTTTATGAATCCTTCGCCTTATACGGTGCTTCATTCCACATCATTGCCAAGAGTTTTTAGATTATTTAGAGGTCTTGGTTTGAGGCATCTGCCTATAGTTAATGATACAAATGAGGTAAGAGTTTTTTAATTTGGCTCAAATATAATTATTAAATTCTGATTACAGGTTATAGGTATGGTAACAAGAAAAGATCTGGCCAGATACAGAGTTTGGAAACACCAAGGACAAATGGGCGTAGAGGAATTGTTGATATCAAAAGATCTATAAGTTGAATTTTAATTTAAGGATTAATGAATTACCAGTATTTTTCTACTAAAGATTAATGTATATTAATTTTCATATTTATGACACAGCAATAATTTTAACGTATATGATTTTTCTTTATAATTGTTATAGTTTTTATATAGGCAAATTTTAAATAAATGTTTTCTATTAATTTTCGCATTATTGTAATGACGCAGGTAAATAGATCACTCATCTATACTGTTGACATTTACTTGGGGTATCGAGAGCTTACTCTGAAACCCAAAAAGATGTGAAGTATCATAGTGACGTGCTACCTGTTACCAAAGCTCAGTCAAAAATGTGTTATTTATAAGATCTTTGAAGAGAGAGAGCAGATGCACTCTAACAATATTCGTTCTTCGAACCCTCAACAAATTGCTGAACTCAACAAGAAATGTTACTGTGTTAATGTATAACTTTCGATTATTTATCGATATTGTTAGACTCTTTCGAGAAATTTGACCTCGACCTGTGGTCGTACTTTCTTCTCGGCAACCCAGCAACGTCGATTACTAATTTTAGTGTACCAGTACCAACTTCGAATTAACTATAATAGAACTTTCCCCTTACTGTGGTTTGATAGTAGAGTGCTCCTTATAAGATATTTTGACTATTGTGGGCGTGTCGGAGTTACAAGCCGAAATTTTCACAGAAAATCAGAACGGGCAAAAGGGGAGTATATTTAAAAATTAAGATTATTGCATGAAAGTATAGGATATTAATTTATGATTGTACTCATACACTCCGTAATGGTAGATTAATTGATAGTGCGGGTCAAAATTAGTGGAAAACAACCCTAACATCAATTCCAAATGGCCATTTTGAGTAGGAACAAAAATAAAAAGAAAATTCTATTTTTGGCTCTTGAAAATTTTCAAAGTTTTGACATGGTCATGAATAATTGCCCATATCTTTGGTAAATTTTGAGCAAATTGAATTAAATTATATACCATTCGAAAGAGCATTTAATTCTTTATAAATCTGCGTAAAATTGAGTTCGATATCTCAAATAGTTTTTGAGTAATTGAGCCTCAAAGTTGACTTTTAGTCCTAATTTTGTTAAAAACTTCAAACTCAATTTGCTCCAAAACTATAAATCTGGAAATATTGTAAATTACAGACCATTTAGAATTTAATAAAAGCTACAAATTCTAGAAATTTTAATGCAATTTGCTCAACGGTTACCGAGCAATTGAGGTTTGAATATTTTGAAATCAGAATTCAAAGGCTTATGAAAATCCAGTAAATTTTGAGTAAATTGAAAGAAATTATATATCGTTGGAAAAAGCATTAAATTCTCTATAAATCCGTGTAAAATTGAGTCTGATGGCTTAAATAGTGTTTGAGCAATTGAGCCTCTAAACTGCCTTTCAGTCCAAAGTTTGTCAAAAACTTCAAATTCAGTTTGCTCAAAAACTATAAAACTGGAACATTGTAAATCACAAGCCATTTAGAGCTTAATAAAAGCTACAAATACCGAAAGTTTTAATGCAATTTGCTCAACGGCTACTGAGCAATTGAGGTTTGGGTAAATGTATTCGGCTTATTTCAAGCAATAATAAAAAATATAATTTGTACAATGTAATGTAGGTATGTAATGTAATGTAATTCATATTTTTCTGTTGATGGTTCAAAAGAAACAAAAGTACCATATTAAAATATGTATATTTATTGAAATACAATAATCATGACCTTAAACATAAAACAAAATAATTTTATCGATTAACAGTCTCTTCAAAGTATGCGTTTTTTGGCCCTCCACAATACTAAAATAAAGTACCTTTGGGCCCCAGCCACACATACGTAAATAAATGCATGCACCTTATTGAAAAGTTTTGAGGAAGAAATACTCGTAAACTCTGTATAATTGTGAATAAAACTACTTTTTGTGAGGACAAACAAGGAAAAACAGCTAAAATTCAATACCGATGGGCGGAATTGTGCAACAGAAACACTACACAACAAAATCCACTAACAATTTCTGGATATGAATTAAATTGAATACAGAAATAATCTGCCTGCTTCATGGAAAAGGGAAAAATTATAATCCATCATCTTCTGAACATCTAATGCAAAATTCTCCAAAAATGAAATCTTCAAAACATCTAAAGCAAATGTAGAAGAATACATATGAAATTTGTTCCAACAATAACGAAAAACCATCTTATTCCAACTTGTTTCAGAAACGTGGAAAATTTCGAAGTAGGATGCTAATCCTCTATCCTCACATTAAAGCGATTTTCGAATAAGTGCTGGAAATGGAGATGTGAAGAAGAAGATACAAACTGTAGAGCCCAAGGGGTAAACTTTACTCTATCCCAGAATTGGTGCAAACAATTCCTCAAAGGGGATTTTTTTACGCATAATTCCTTAAGATTCCTGCGAATTCCTCCAGATACCCTATCACAAATTCCTCCAAATACCCCACCACGAACTTCTCCAAATACTCCACAAATTCCTTTACATTCCCTGCGAATTTCATGAGAAATCTTGGAAATCAACCTACAATAACTGAATTAATTGAAAATACAGTCTCACATATTTCAAAGTTTTCCTGGAAAACTAGTGAAGGCCAAAATTTAAAACTTTTTGCATGTGAAGTGGAAGGTGAGAAGCTCATTTTCCCAAAATTTCAAATTTTTCCAGTAGAAAATAACAATATAAGGAATCTTGGAAATAAACCTACAATAACTGAATTAATTGAAAATACAGTCTCACACATTTCAAAGTTTTCATGGAAAATTACTGAAGGGAAAATTTTCAAACTTTTTGCATGTAAAGAGGAAGGTGAGAAGCTCATTTTCCCAAAATTTCTAATTTTTTCCAGTGGAAAAGGGCAACATGAAAAATCTTGGAAATTAACCTACAAAAACCGAATCGGTTGAAAATACAGTCTCACACATTTCAAAGTTTTCCTGGAACACTAGTGAAGGGAAAATTTTGAAACTTTTTGCATGTAAAGAGGAAGGCGAGAAGCTCATTTTCCCAAAATTTCAAATTTTTCCAGTGGAAAATAACAACATAAGGAATCTTAGAAATCAACCTATAATAACTGAATTAATTGAAAATACAGTCTCACACATTTTAAAGTTTTCCTGGAAAACTACTGAAGGGAAAATTTTGAAACTTTTTGCATGTAAAGAGAAAGGTGAGAAGCTCATTTTCCCAAAATTTCTAATTTTTCCAGCGGAAAACAGCAACATGAAAAATCTTGGAAATCAACCTACAAAAACTGAATTAGTTGAAAATACAGTCTCACACATTTCAAAGTTTTTCTGGAAAACTAGTGAAGGGAAAATTTTGAAACTTTTTGCATGTAAAGAGGAAGGTGAGAAGCTCATTTTTCTAAAATTTCAAATTTTTCCAGTGGAAAATAACGACATAAGGAATATTGGAAATCAACCTACAAAATCTGAATTAGTTGAAAATACAGTCTCACACATTTCAAAATTTTCTTGGAAAACTAGGCAAGAGAGAAATTTGAAACTTTTTGCATGTAAAGAGAAAGGTTAGAAGCTCATTTTCCCAGAATTTCAAATTTTTCTAGTAGAAAATCATAACATGAGGAATCTTGGAAATCAACCTACAATAACTGAATTCATTGAAAATACAGTCTCACACATTTCAAAGTTTTCTTGGAAAACTAGTAAAGAAAAAATTTTGAAACTTTTTGCATGTAAAGAGGAAGATGAGAAGACGAGTGAGAAGATCATTTTCCTAAAATTTCAAATTTTTCCAGTGGAAAACAGCAACATGAAAAATCTTGGAACTCAACCTACACAAACAGAATTAGTTGAAAATACAGTCTCACACATTTCAAAGCTTTCCTGGAAAACTAGTAAAGGGAAAATTTTGAAACTTCTTGCATGTAAAGTGGAAGGTGAGAAGATCATTTTCCCAAAATCTCAAATTTTTCTAGGGGAAAATAACAACATGAAAAATCTTGAAAATCAGCCTACAAAAACTGTATTCATTATTATTTTGAATGTTTCAAATTTGGACCTGTAAATCATGAAGTGTAATTTTGGGAGGATTTCTTTGATGAAAATTATTATCTAACATCCAACACAAAACTAGATTATTTTTTTTCCAGTCATTATTATTTCTTATTATAAGACTGTGAACCTCAGTGGCGTCATGACCCTACAATTTCCTTTAAATTCCTCATGAATTCCCCACAAATTCTCCCAAATTCCTAACAAAAATTCCTTATAAATTCCCCAAATTCTTATAAATTCCGATAAGTTCCTTCAAATTCCCCACAAATTCCATTAAATTTCCCACAAATTCCTCTAAATTTCTCACATTTTTGGCAAAGTATTCCTAGGTGGTTTGCCCCTTGGTAAAGCCTATTACAGTACTAGCAACAGTACCAGTGAATGCTGGAATGAGTACTAAATTAAGAGCCATTTGGCAACCGAAGATTATAAGCCACCTGAAAAGAGTAGCTGTGATATTTTTGACATAATCACAGATGTTCTACAAGAGCCAGATATAGCAAAGTTGATATGTATGTATACCTATACAAGTAAAATACAGAATATTAACCAGTTGCCTTATGATGTATTGAATCTAAGTAAAAGCATGGACTATTATCAAGGCAACATTGATGATAAATATGATGGTTACCTCAGAAAAATGATAAGTATTATTATTGATACCCACCAGCCAAAAAAAGAAGTTGCTGTAAATGTAAGATATAATGAGCGGGTTTTGAATGCAAAAAAGTCAAGAGAAAATGCTTATTAAACATATGCAATCAGATCAATTAGGATAATTATAAAAATAGTAGAAATGCTGATGTAAACATACTAAGAATAGGAATAGAGAAGTGTAGATATTATCAGGACAGGGTGGATAATTGGTATAATGACCCGAAAGAAATGTGGAAATCATTAAAACACATTAGTGTTGAAAGAAATACAGAACAAATAGACAAAATTGATTTTTTGGGAAGCGTTTCCAATAGTTTATCTGAAATTGTGGAAAATTTTAAAACATTTTTTATTCAGAGTATCACTGATATTGTACAGACACTAGCTCTAAGCCAAATAATATTTATTACTGAAAATAGTGGTAATGTACGTGTAACTTATTGACAAAGATATTCTTAGGGAAATAATTTTTTCTATGAGTAATAAGTCAAATCCTCATGATATCGATATGTGATCCTATAAGGAATTTTTTGATGAATTATCAAATATAGTTTTGGATGTTGTTAACAGTTCTTTATTGCATGGAAAGATACCTGGGCTAGGATTCTATAAGGAATAGACATTTTCGCTATCTCTATTCATTTCCAAAAGAAAGAAGAAGACAGCAAGTGCCATAGCTATAGAGATAACAATCCCTATCAGAAAGGTAAATTTGGTGAATATACTTTCCAGGAAAGTTTTATTAATGTTGGAGAGCAGCAGGGTAGTTTTTTGGGTGCACTTCTGTTTATACAGTAGATACATTAATAATATACAGCTGGTTTTGAAAAATGTTAGATAGGTAACTTATTTTTGCTGATGATACCATCATTTATGCATCACACTCAGATTTAAAGGTTGTTGTAGATAAAATAAATCAAACATTAGGGTATGTAAGTGAGTGGATGAAATTTAATAAACTAAAATTACTTAAAAGGAATTTTCCAGAAGAATTTTATCAGTGAGATAATTTTCCGTGGCTCAACCCTTGTATTCGTCATTATGCTTGCTCAAAAAACTACTGATTTAGATGTGCATTTTGATGAAATGGAGTTCAATAAGTCATCTACATATGCGTGTGGGGCCTTATCAATAAATTTTAAAAATCGAAGTACATAAATGCATATAGGTTTAAAAAGTTTGTGTACCTATTTCACCTCCTAAATAATCTCGAAAAATACTGATTTAATAATCTATTTTTACAGTAAAAGTTATAAAAAATATGAGATTTGTTCCAACTAGAAAACCAGCGACATTGGAACAATAGTTGACCAACTGAAACTATAATAATTATTATTGTTGGCTAGAATATCAGTTATATAAAAATATGAACCTGGTATAAAGGCGAATATGTTTAAAAATAATATTGACTTTTGTTAATATCTAGATATTCCACATTTAAGACAACACCAATGTATAAGTAGTCAATAATTAGGACCCATGTTTATAAAGCAATCTTTACAAAAATGGGCCCAATTCAATCTCCCAACACAAATAAATTATTTTACAGTTGCTTATGTAACACAAGCAGTTACAGTCTTCTTTACAGCATCTCTAGCATAAGGAATGTAAGACAACGAGTACCAAGTCATCGAAAGACTCTGGATTATGATAAATAAAAGTGCCAGGCCTGCTTTTTGCCACTGCAAACAAAAACATTAACTTACTTTTATTATTTTATTAAGAGCCAAATTATGGACCAACTGGTAAGTGTCTAGTTGTTATCTAGCAGGTACTTTCTATTCTCTAGTGCATAGAAAGTACCTACTAGGACGTTTACCAGTCAGTCGATAATTTGGCCCTAAAATATCACTTACCAATAGAGCAGAAAGCAAAGTCATAACAAGACTACCGATAACCAGGCAAGTGGCTATGGCTCTTGTCGAGTGGAACATTTTCTGAACCTGATTCCAAGGCCCCATGAGAAAGCAGGTGCTGAGTAATGAGATGATGTTGCCTAGAGTGTAAAAAACTGCAAATACTTTCAAGCCTCTACTGAAAAATAAGGCAAACGATCCTAGAATTGTCAGGAGTATGCCTACTATGAAACAACCAATAAATCCTTTGATTCTTGTCGACCAGCTTAGAGTTGAAGCATCGTTAAGCTAGGGAAAATACTGTTAGAATTATATTAAAGCTAGAAGATTTTTACTGACCTGGGACATAATGCCACTTTCTTCATCTGGAGTATCATTTCCACTCAATACCCGTTTTAGTTTATCCATTTCTAGAGAGAAAAATTTTCTTTATTAAAAAAAAAAACAAAAAGGGAAAGGTGATTTCACTGATTAATAAATTACTTGCTTATTCAATTCTATTTTTATCAAGAGGTTTGCTGATAAGAGTGTTACAATAAAATTATAAATCAAATAGGATTTTCTATAGCTACTTTTTAATTACAATAGAAATTAAAATTGTGTTGTGTGTAAAAATGCAGGCGAATTGTGTTTTTGAATGTGTCAGATGTGTGAAGCGCAACAGATGATTTCATTCAAGGTACGCAGAAAAACGTTGGACCAATGAAAAACCTTAGCTGTTAGTCACCTGATTTTTAATTGGCTGTACAGTTCATTGGGCTGTACCGACAGGAGGACAGGCTATAGGTAAAGATGGTAATTTTGACTGGGGTTTATCGATATTCATACCTCTTTCAAATCCGCTACTTCTTTTTCATATCAATAGAAAATATCGATACTTTCGAAGCGATATTTTCAAGTAGGAAGAGCTCTGGAACCAAGGATGGTCTATCTTCATAAGGCCTGTGTGTAACAGATCCCCCTCTTCACCCATCATGCCAAATTACCAGTTGTGACGTAGAGAGTATGTTATTTCTCGCCTTAGATTCCTTGACGTAAGGTGTTTTAAACAGCTGACGACTTAATTATGACATCGGAAATGGTAACACACCAATATGGCAGTGATTACTAAAAACGAAGCCGATAAGCAATCCTTGTAGGTGTGTAATATCCTTGTTCCGGAACAGCTCCGGAGCGTGACGCGCTTATTACAGAGAAATCGAATTATTCTCATGAGAGAGCAAGTTCGCTGTTACGAAAGTAAGGGCTCAGATCTGCTCGGAGCAGATACAAACGAAAACCTTTCATGTTACTAGTTTCTCATATCCAACTTCACTGTGATGTAAATAACAAAACTCATACGTCAGAACAAAAATCCTACACACAAATTCTAACCTCACCATTTTATTGTCGTTGTTATTTTTATAATCCCCAGTTCTAAATAAAGAATAATGATAATTTTCAAAATATGGCGAAAATTCTTTATTACGTTCTAACATTAGTATTTTTATTAAGTGCATTAAAAAGTGCTAGGGCCGATCAATGCATACATCAAGATCCTTGTTCGTGCACGGTGGACGAATACACTGTTATCAGTTTGAGGGAACTCGTTCCTGATAAAACCTTGTTTGAAGATAGGAAAGGCAACTATTCCTACTTTTTTTCCGGATGCGAGGATAAAACTTTCAAGGGGGACAATTTCCTTATGCCTAACGTTAGTGATATAACTGCATCAGTAAGTACAGATTGTGGGTCCGGACAACTTTACGGACAGTGGATTTTTGAAATTATTATTTTTTTTATCAGAAAGATTATATTTCGAACAGTAGATTCGAGAAATAAAAATTGCGGTAAACGCATTATTCAAGCAGAAAAAAAAAATCAGTTCCCTCAACTCGTAAACATCAAAAAATTATTAAATTCAAGAAAATATTTGCAACTTTGCCACATTGCAATGGAACATCTTTTTTAAATAACACCTTATAAAATTTAAATTATTTTTGAGTCTCTGAATGCTCGCTTTGCTCGCTGAATCTCAAAGAGAAGATCCTCGGAAATGTGGATCCACCATTTATAATAATTTTGAGTTTTCGATTGCTCGCTCCGCTCGTCAAATCTCAAAGAGAAGATCCTTGAAAACATAAATTCACCAAAAACGCGAAAAACCATTTTTACATAACACCTTCTTCAAGAACAAAAAAAAACAGATCCAAACAACAGTTGAAGAAATCAAGCACCTTAAGAAGGAAAATAACGAACTGAAGGAAAAGGTGGACTCAATGGAAGAAAGGATCAATGAAATTGAACAGAGAGAAAAGGAGAAAAATATCGTTATATCTGGTATACCCAAGCAAGAAGAACTGGTGAGCGAAACAATGAAAAAGGTCTTTAAAGCTCTAAAAGTGCCTATACATGAAGGTGATGCCCAGGAAATTTTCCGATTAAACAAAAACGAAGGCGCGCCAATATTACTAAAACTCAGAAGCACAACAATAAAACACGAATTGATGTCAAAAATAAGGCAACTGAAGGGACTTAAGCTGAACGAATGTGGCTTGACCGGAGGTCCAAAGAACATATATTTTAATGAGGACTTAACACGTCAGAATCAGATGCTTTTTAAAAGGGTAAGGGACACAAAAAAGGAAAAGAATTATTACAAAGCGTATGTCTTAAATGGAAAAGTATTTCTCAAAAAAAATGAAAATGACAGACCAGTAAGGATTAAAAATGAGAACGATATAGAGCAGTTATAAATAAAAGATATGTAAATACAATGTAAATAATAAAAAATATTTATTCATTTAAAATGGAGACTGAAAACCTGACTGAAAAAATGGAGCAAAAACTAAATGTTCTATATATCAATATAAGAAGCGTTAGAAATAAACTAAATGATATTAATGATGTTATACTAGCACACAAAAAAATTATACATTTGATAGTCCTAACAGAAACTTGGATCTATCCAAACGAGAAAGACTGTTTTAAATTAAATAACTACACTGCACTACATGATTGCAGAGATACACGTGGTGGGGGATGTAGTATCTACATACGTGAAGATCTACATTATGTCCAAAGCAACAAGCATAAAATACAAATTGAAGATTGCAATATCGTATTTCTCTACCTACCAAAACAAAAGCTCTCCGTAATAACCCCCACATAGCAACTGTGAATTTTTCTCAAACAAACTTGACACAATACTGGAACAACAAAAAAATGAGTGCATAATAATAGGAGACATGAACTTAGATTTATTGAAGCAATCACAAACTATCAATAACTACCAAAACATTATACAAATGAATGAATTTAAGTTCCAGAATGAAGTGCTGCAACAAAATGCAACTAGGGTGACTAGCAATACAGCATCTATCCTGGACCATATAATAACAAATCAAAATTTAGCCTGCACTATTAAACTACAGGACAGTGACCTATCGGACCACAAAGTTATGTACATAGAAATTAAAAAAGCAATATATTTAAAGAAAAAAGAAAAAGTAAAACGAAGTTTTTTAATGGAAAATAAATGGCTAAATCATATGCAGGAAAAAATAGAACAACATCAAATAACAACTTTTCAACAACTAGCTGAAATCATAAATACCTCAAAAAATGAATGCACGAAAGAATACAGTATAAAAATAAAACAAAACAATTATTGGATAACAAACAATTACCTATCTAAGCTCAAGGAGAAGGACGCACTGTATGTTAGGTGGAAACGAATTAAAAATGAATATTGTGAAACGGAGTTTAAAAAAGCCAAAAACCAACTAAACAACCTTAGAAAAAAACTGCAGAAACAGTATGCAGAAAGACGGTTTAATGAAGCAACGGGCAACGCAAAGAAGACCTGGGCAGTACTAAATGAAATATGTAATACCAATAAAAATAATAAAAAAAAAATACATCAAATAATCAACTCTAGTGGAAAGTTATTTAAAAATAACAAAGAAATGGCTCAAGAATTCAATACGCATTTTTCCAAAATGGGAGATACTTTAGCAGACAAAATAAAACAAAATTCAAAAACTCTTTTCAACGAGGAGGAAGTTGAGGAAAGCATAATTCTTGAACCAACAACCCTTACAGAAATGAAAGAAACGATCAATACCTTAAAAAACAACTGTGCTCCAGGCATGGATGGTGTATTGAAAAAAGATTTGCAAACTCTTTATTACATTATTGGAACAAAAATGGTAGAACTTGTTAATAACGTCCTGCAAACTGGAATTTACCCTGAAGAACTCAAAATTGCTAAAATCGTCCCAATATTCAAAAAAGGCGAGCACGATAACATAAATAACTATAGGCCAATTTCACTACTCATTACTTTTTCCAAAGTGTTAGAAAAAATTATCAAGACCCGATTAATAAATTTCATTGAAACAAATTTTAAGTTTGATAAACAGCAATATGGGTTTCAATGTAAAAGTAGCACACAAGGAGCAGCAGTGGATATGTTGGAATATGTTTCCAGTGAGTTGGACAAAAGCAAATATGTCATAACTGTGTTTGTCGACCTTCAAAAAGCCTTCGACACGGTTAATATAGAGTTAATGATGAGCAAACTATATAAAATGGGTTTCCGTGGACCATGCTATAACCTGCTAAAATCTTACTCTACTGGAAGAAAGCACTTTACAACAATAAATAGTGAGAGTAGTGAACAACTTAACTTGAATGTAGGAGTTGCCCAAGGGTCAGTGCTGGGGCCAATACTTTATTTACTGTATGTACATAGTTTGAAATATGCAAACTTAAAAGCAACCTACTTTAAATTTGCAGACGACACTGTATTGGTCTACTCAGGTGACAGTGCAATACAACTTGACGAACTTGTAAATAGTGACTTAAAGCAATATTTTAGTTGGCTGTGCTATAATAGACTTTCGTTGAACGCGCAAAAAACAGTATATATGGTTAGTAAACAAACAGGAAAACCACCCCTAAACCCACAAATAAACATAAACATAAATGAAGTACCTTTGAAAAGAGTGTGTGAATATAAGTACCTTGGCTTGCTCATTTCTGAAAAACTAACATGGGATAAGCACATTGAAACTGTGACAGGAAAAATAGTGCCAATGATAGGTGTAATTAAAAGATGTTCACATCAACTAAACCAAAAAACAAAACAGCTGCTCTATAATAGTTTTGTAGAGCCACATTTTAGGTATCTGATAACGTGTTGGGGAAATACAAGTATTGCACAAATAAATAGGCTCCAGAGACTTCAAAATAAGGCTCTTAAAACAATATTTGGAATGAACTTTTATGTCTCTAGTGAAGAAATTTACAAAAGTCTGCCTTGCCTAAAAATATGTGAGCTTAAAATACTAGAACAAACAAAACTTATTTATGCTATACAAAATAAATTGCTTAAAACAAATGTAGAACTGAATGAAAATAAACAATATTACAACTACAATACCAGAAATAACCAAAGACTAAGAAATACCTATGCCAGAACAAAGAAAAAACAAGACTCTCCAATCTATAGATGCGTACAGGCCTATAACAAAATACCAAAGACTGTACTGAAGGGTGTGATTAAAGAAATGTGTCATAACCTTAAAGAATACCTAAGAGCAAACAGATTATAAAACTAATATATTTTTTGAGTGCTTAGTTAAATGTTATATTTTACTTCTGTTATGTTAAATTATTGATATTAAGGCCTCGGTGCCAGTTTATTCTAAACTGTTTTGAGGTCTGAAATAAATAAATAAATAAAAAAAAAAATAAAAAAAATATTTAAAACATTTTTAAGTCTAGGACTGCTCGCTCCGCTCGCCAAATCTCGAAGAGAAGATCCTTGGAAGCATTAATTCCCCAAAAACATGAAAAACCCGAGGGAAAACCTTTTCTTTGTTAATTTCCTAGCCTACAACTGTATTTTAATAATTATTGGTGCTTCAAATAGGTTGATGAGCACCTATAAAAGGCAAACAACTGATAAAATATTATAGTTTTATTGAATCTTTATGGAAAAAATTAAAAAATTACTGTCCGTAATATCGACCGTAGCCCAGATTTTTGATTTATTGTTTATAAATAACAATTTTTTTTTTTTTCAGTTGATTAAATGCACAGCAAATGTAACAATACAAAATATTACTCAAATTATTAACGCCACCTCCACCAACAAGACTGTGACGGTGATAAGTTACAGTTGTGATGGCATAGGACATGCCAAAGATATAAAATTCAACCTGGGACCAACTTCATCAGATTACAATATTGTTTACAACAATAAAACTTCCAAAAAGTAAGTTTAACTATTTATTCTCTAGAGGCCAAAGAGTCTATTTTAATTTAGTTATTAATACATTTTTATCTTATCTTGTGTCTAGCAATAGATTCGAGAATAGATTAGTGTACTGAGTGATTTTTTTTTTTTTTCTATTTCAGTAGTTTACCAAGTATTCGTTTAGCCTGTGATAACTTCAATGCTACCAATTTGAAAATATTGAATGACAACACAGATGTAAGTATGAACATAGTAAAAGGGTGTGAAAATGCCCTTAACGTGAGGGAAAGTAGTAAAGTGGGGTACAATTAAGTCATGTAATATTTCAAGGAAAACCACTGAAACTCCAAAAGTCCCCAGTACATCGACCCTAAAATTTTGTAACTCATGTACATGCCAAACTTCCTAAGCAGCTTCATAACACCAAGTCGGACAATATTTTTCATATCTGCACCTTGGGCGATGGGACATTGCCTCACTAACTCTTCGTGAAGTTGTCGTTCTGACGTCTCTAAGGAAGTTGATACATGTACGTGTAGTTTCAATGACAATCGACTGTTTTTTATATTACATTAACAATATCACATTTGTCGGACAAAAGCCATGTGGCTTTGGGGAAGGTCCGACGCCCTCAACATGTCGCTGTGGCGTCCCTGAGGAAGTTGATACATGTACGTGTGGTTTTGATGCTAATCGACTGTTTTTATCGTTTTTATGTTACATTATTGATATCACATAAGACGGACAAAAATCACGTGGCTTTGGGTGGGTCCGACGCCCCCAACATGTCACTGTGGCGCCCCTAAGGAAGTTGATACATGTATGTCCGACAAAAATAATTATGAGTAACAATGTAATTTTAAAATGTGTAGTAAATGTCGGACAAAAAAATGAGTATTAAAGTCAGTCGGACAACAATAGTTATTTATGCACCTAGGTCAAAAAGTACAGCTTTAATGCCCGCAGCGTGTGTAACAGCCCGAGGCGTCAGCGACGCCTCGGGCTGTTTACCCGCCGAGGGCGTTAAAGCTCTTTTTGACCGAGGTGCATACAAGATTTTATGAACGATGAGCATGTTTCCATTTTGAAATTTAAAAATTATATATTTTTAATTATGTTATGACATCATTCAAAAATATTTCAAAATATAAATTTTCATCTTTACCGCAATAGGTCGTAAGTTTTTGTCAAATTTAGATCAAGAAAGCAGTTGTTGACAAAAGTGTCACTTAACTATTATAGCAACCCAGAACAATACAAACAAATAATTAATATACTCTATGTAGTTCATACCCCGCGATCTTCAAATGTACCACTTGGGGGCATATTCTCCGTAGTTCATAAAGCCTGGCTTAGTGGAAAAGCTCGGCTTTGTCACACAAAAAGTCAACCGTTTCCACTAAGCCAGGCTTTATTAACTACGGAGAATATGGCCCTTGGTTCGATGAAAAACTTGTTTCATGCCCGATAGAGGCGCTATCAATTGATTTGCGTACGCGTTGTTGATTGTATCTCCAAGGTATCTCCGCTTCAGAAGAAGGGTGACGTGATTACTAATTAAATTATGACATGAAACAACATAAATTCATGAAATGACAAATGATGACAAAATGATGTGATGAACTGGAAAACGTTGTACTTCTTATTGTTGCTTTAATATTTCTGTTCGTTGAAAAAGTGTTTCGTAGTGATAGAGCGTTATCTGTGTGTATTTGCGGACTTTCACAGTGTTATGTTTAGTGTAAAGACTATTATTGTTATTTAATTCTGTGTTGTTAAGTCTTGACTTTGTTGACAAGTTTCGAAAAGCCAACATATTTTTCTTCTCTCTTTGTAATAAACCTTTATTTGTTAAATTTGCATCAAATTGTGTCTTTATTATAAAATAAATAAAAAGCAAATCTAAACAAATAAGAAGCAAACTGCTCTACAAGCTGCTACAATGGGATGAGCTCATTTCATAGAAAACAGATGGCGCCACAAATGGTTGTCCGATCCGTATAACGGGACTGTCCATTCTATACCCACTATAAACCTTATTCTATGATGTAGTTTATAGTATTTTTATGATGTGTAGTCCGGCGTCTGAAAATGGGACAAAATAGCCTCCCCAAGTTTATTCTCGAGGCAGTTGAAAAGGCCAAGGAAGATCTATTACCTTCAAAGTCCAAAATACTTTATGAAAAAAACATATAAGGACTTTATTTCCTGGTGTTCCCCACATGGTGTTAATGAGCAGCAGTACTTTGTAGCAGCTGTCAACATTAGGGTTGCCAGACCTCCTATTTTTAATATGAGACTCATATATTTAAACTGTTTCTCATATCTCATATTAGCATGTTTAATATGAGACTATTTCTCATATATTTTGATCAAAACAAAGAAACCATGATGTGTGTATCTGATGTATCCGTTGTATAAAAATATGTCAAAATAAAAGGTTTTTCGGACATTGGATGTCGGAAAACGGATGCATGAGATTCCGGCTATAGTATGGAGTCTCATGCGATACATCCCATCCAACCGTCCGATGGTACGATGGAGCTCCCTATTTGCTGAAAAATTTCCCGCCACTTTTTATCCGAATATTTCTAACTTTTTTCCGACGTCTGAACTAATTGTCAAGATAGGAGCTTTTTCGGATTCAAGTATTTTGCAGTACCCGGTGATTGTCTATATTTTGCACCCACACCTATCTCACCTGTTTGGAGAGATACCCAGAAATGTTAAGTGTGAAAGTTTTAGGTGATATCAGAAATTTTTGAATGATGTTAGTTATAAGTATACAGGGTGTGTCACAAAAGTGTTGTGAAGCAAATTTATACTTTTTTAAATGGAAAACCCTGTATATTATTGTCCGATTAGCCTTTCAAACCTGATTCAAATATACTAGGCTTTTTAGGTTTATCCTCATAGTCCAGCCTCTGAATTAAAGCATTTTGAAGAAATAATATGGATTTTTTACACGAATGATTACCTTTATATTTTGCTGGTGGTCTCTATACTTCTCATTTTTCAATAAAAATGCAATTATTCCACACCCCTTTTTGTCCAATTTTCTCCTGGACTATTAGGAATAAACCTAAAAAGCCTAGTATATTTGGAATCATTTAATCATCAATCATTTAAGAAAGTATAACTTTGTTTCGCCACACCTTTGTGGTACACACTGTATACTGTAACTAACATCATTGAAAACTTTCTGATATTACCTACAACTTTCACATTTGTCATTTCTGGGTATTTCTTTATTTCTTAAAACAGGTGGGATAGGTGTGGTGCAAAATATGGAAAATCACCCGGTACATAAAATATTCTCATATATTATTATCCAATCTCATATAATTTTACACAGGCTCTCCTATTTTTAAAACTCAAGTATCTGGCAACCCTAGTCAACATTGATGAAAAATGCAAAAAAATAAGCCATCCGCCCTATGGAGTTGTTACTCAATGTTGAAGACAACAGTTCTTTTGTGTTTTTCTGTGGAAAAAGGTCGATTATAAAAGTTGAAAACTGTAAAAATTTTATTTTCAATTTTAAAGTAGATTGAATTTTATTATTATTGCTTATTTCATTATTCTTATTAATTGAAATAAAGCTTGTTTTGTTGAACAAAGTTGGTATTTTTTGGACTAAGCAATAGAAATGCAAACAGTTTAAAAAAAACTACGTTGAATTTTTGCTTATTTTTGAAATTTTAGAAGCTTCAGGCCCGCGGGCATAAAAGGCGCCCTAGGGCGTAAAAGTACTACTTCACGCTTTAAAATGCGGGCGTAAAAGTGCACTTTTACGCCCGTTCGTACATAAAAGTCCTTTTGATCAATTTCTGCCAAAATTCAAGATCTCTACTCCTGAGATCGCACAAAAAACACGACTGAACTGAATATCCATTCTTTTTCACACGCGTGGTTTTCAACGACCATACACTAAATAATTTCCGTAAATACTTGGAGAATTATCAAAAAAAAAAAAAAGATCAGCGAATATGACACATGGCCCCACAGGTATTTGACATAGTAGGTAAATAATAAATTGACTAATATGATGCACGTTGCTTTAAGGCAAACTGATTTTAATTTTTTCATTAAGTGTTTCAAATTTCTTGTCCGACAAATGTGATATCGTTAATGTAATGTAAAAAACCGTTATTGTGCATGAAACTATTTGCTAAAAAGCAAAATATTGCAAAAAATATTTGGATAGTTTAATCCATTTAAATTTATAAGGTCGAGTGATATACGGCTAGATTATTTCCTGAATAATTGGGTTTAAAGCCAGCAACAAAGAGTTCTATTTATGATAAAATGTGCGAATATTTCTATCAAAATTCTGTCAAAAAAGGTAAACAAAAACTTAATCGCTGATAAACAGGTCTTGTGAAATAATAGTCAAAGAGCCAGCGCCGAAAAAATTCTCTGAATTTACTAAAGCTAGTTTTTGGACAGTTGATTACAGTATTTACGTACATAAACATACCGCGGTCAGTCAAGCGAAACTTGGGACAAGGACCCAGTGTGTCTTGTTAAAGGTGTCGAGATAACTTGGGTAATGCAACGAATTTACTAAAGCTGAAAATCGTTATACATATTATGTATAACATATAAATAACAGTAGTGTTAGTCAGTCAGTTAAATAGCGGGACCGTGCTGGTCAGCCAGCCCCAATAAATGTAAAAATTTGCAAAAAATATTAATATTACTGAACAAACCTATTAATTTAAACTTCAACCTACAATTTTGAATTGTCACTGTCACGCTGTCATTCTAAAAAAAAAATAGACCTATTATTTTTTTTACATAAATTGGGGCTGAACTACCTCAATGGGGCTGAATGACCGGCCCAGTTCCGCTACTCAACTAACTGACAAACATCACTGTTATTTATGTGTTATATATAATATGTATAGCGATTTTCAGCCTCAGTAAATTCGTTACATTACCTAGCTATCTCGACAACTTTAACCAGACACCCTAGGTCCTTGTCCCAAGTTTCGCTTGACTGACCGAGGTATGTTTATGTACGTAAATACTGTAATCAACTGACCAAAAACTGGCTTTAGTAAATTCAGAGAATTTTTTCGGCGCTGGCTCTCCGGCTATAATCATCTAAGGCGATTTCGCCTCAGTTTGGTACCCCAGTTTGGTCTGTCAAACAGGTACCAATCAATTTCGGATAGGAGAATGACAACTTTGGTAGGCGCTTTGGTCTGTCAAATACTATACCGTGGTTTGAC